ATGTCGATATCAATCGCCAAATAAGATCTGGATGTCAATTCTGAATGTGAACTCTCATTTAGAGTCATGTTTCAACACTTGGTGACTGGAGGGTGCTTCACGAATTGCTTTTGACGCGTCCTTTCATTTTCACTCTCGAGCATAGTTATAAAAAAGGGGGGATGAAGACAGCCAATTGGGGGGAGGGGGCGTGGGCCGCAAGCTAAACGTTGAGGCCGTGACTTTAATGTCCCTCCAATGCACGCCCTAAAAATACTAAATCAAGTGCTTTATTCTCTCTTTGTGTTTCTTTTTGTGTGCGCGTTCTTTGCAACGCCAGAATGGTGATTAACGAGACATCATTAGGGTGCATGCTCTCGACTGGTACATAATATAGTGATCTAGACTCTACCTGTTCACTATAGTCCCAATACACGAGAACTCTAAATTGTGATTTTTCTCCTACGCTGCTTTGCCATGTAGTAGCCCCCGCGTTTTTCCTTTTCCCGCGCGACGAACCGATTTCACGACATTTTATGAGTTTCCGATTGCGCGAGCATGAATAACCGATTGCAGCCGACAAGCTCGAAATTCTTATACGTCCAGTGCTTAGCGCTCACATTGCACAAGTGCTTTGTAAATATAAAGGTGCCCAGGAGAATACGCATCTAACAAATGTGGTGAAAGTCAAAACGAACTCAATGGAAGAAGCACCAGATTATTTGATTCTTCCAACGAACCAACTCTTCGCAGCGGAGACGATGCAGTAAAACGGGTGAGCTGGCTACCATGATCTTTGTATAATTTCTTGATTGCGATAATAATTATCTGGACACTCTGCACAGCTTTTCATTGTTGCCATCAGGATTTGTGTAAAGTGTATACTTAATACTGTTGTATGCGCATCGTGTGCTGCACCGGCAAGTAAAAGCTCGCGAGCGCTTGTAAGAAGATGACTGAAGGTTACATGAAAACAAGCTGCCCATCTCCACAACACTCAGGGAGCATGCGATAACATCACGTGTACACGGGGCATGCCGTCGATTGCACCTCAACTGGAAAGAAAGTTCTCTCAGTCTTTCCCTGGACGAGGGGCAGCGGGGCGTTGCGTACCTCATTCCGCAACTGTAATTTTAATTAAACAGGTGTAGTCGTGAGCCACGCCTCGTGTACCCTTCTACGTGCTATTAGGGAGTTTTAGAAAACCGTTTGCAAGCGCTGCGGGCATTGCAGGTGAAGCGGGCGCCATAAGAGTTTTAGAATAGCATTTGGCCTGCTGCGAACCGCAACGCACGATCGCAGTGACACTGTATCCTCGAAACCAGTGCTTGCGAGCCACATGCGGGCCGCCATCACCGCACGCAATTTCGGATTTTCTGCGTGCGGTTCACGAACGCGAACGCTGACTCGCGTTACGACGCATGCGCAGTGGCAGTGACTGCATCACAAGGGCTCGCCGTGCGCTATTCTAAATCTCCCTATTATCTCACCGCTGCGTGGTGTGAGCACTGATAGGCCAAACTGCATGAAAACCAGTTCTTCCCCTGGAGCGGCCGTGTTCCAATACTTCAGCGTTTTGTATTCGGTGACATCGGGTGAAAAAATTGGGGCAACCTTAAGCTTGGCCTTAAAGTTTTAGAAATCGTGCGCATCGACACTCGACAATGACACGTGCTGCGCATGCATGCCACAGACCAGCTACGAAAGCGCCAGCCGACGAGATCCGGGGGTGGGGGGGGGGGGGGGGGAGTTGGTGACACACTGGCTGAGCATGTGCGCGCGTGTGTTGAACGGTCGGCGTGGCGGAGGATGTGCAGTGTAGTGGCCGGGAGAACTATATCTGTCCTGTCTGTTAGCGTTAAACGTTTCTTGTTACTAATACATGTTTCAGTTTTGAGGTACTGTTTTTATTCCATTCAGTGGCAAGATGGCGAGGACCCCACAAGTGGCGCCCAACGTGCAAATGGCTACGTCTGGCCAGCTGGATAGACGCGGCGTGGAATCGGCTCCCCGAGGACACGGAGTGGCTCAACATTGCCTCCACAGGTAGCGTGGGGCGAGGGGCCATGCACAGTCTACGGCCTATTGCGCGTCTAGGGAAGCTGTGGTTCCGACTACAAACTACGGACGTTTGCCGCCACCCTCGTTTCGGCGGGAATGTACACCACCGCAAGACCAGACTGGAAGCGACACTGCTGCCGACGAAGAGGCTCCAGTTGCGGAGATACCAGTAGATCATCTCCTGTGATGGATACAAGTGAGGACGATAAGAACGCTACGATAGACTTGACTGCACATCTCGTAAACGTGAGTGGCGTGGCTCAGGAGGCCATGGTAGTGGACGCCGGCAAAAACCACGATATGGACGTGGGCGAGAAGGTCGAAAGCCAAGCCGCTGCAGTGAAGTACCGACACGCCGAAAGCTGCCCCAGATGAGGGCACGGCAACGAGAAAGGCGGAGACCACAAGGAATGCCGCCGACGGTAGTGAAACCGAGACCTAGGATGCCGTTGCGCCTGAGCTCATGCAAAGTAGCAAAGTCGACGGCAAAGATGACCGCGGACATGGAGCCCGCGTGCAGGTGAGCGGATCGACCAAAGCCACACGAGAGACGGACCACATCGGGCCAGGAGGCTCTCAACATGGTTATCAGCGGCTTATCTTTACGAGCAAGATGCCAGGAGCATGCCGCTGCGGCTTCTTCACGCTCAGTAAGCACGAGCGCGACTCCATTCCGAGGAAATGCGAGGGGAGAACGGGAGCTGGAACGGCGGCAGCCACAAAGGCCGCGAAAAACGCAATGCCTATAGGCATTGCGTCTGTTCAGCTGTTATAACAGCTGAACGCGATCGTGATATCCTGTCCCTAGTGCAAACACTTAGTGAATGCCATATTCTTTAACTTGCTATGCATCCTCAACGTGACCTTAAGGGAATTCTCGCAGTAATGTGTGTGCCTGTTGCAGTGGTTGCTTGGCTTTAAACACGGTCAGTAATGTAATGTCTTCGGGCCTTAATTGTAAATAACATAAAAAAGCCGTGATGATATCATGTTCTTTTGCCCGATGGCAATGAACACTTGTACCCTGAAATATTACTGAAGTATTTCATGTTGTATTGTGAATTTATACAGGACGCGCGAGTTTGTGAAGCCCAAAAGTTACTTTCACTGCATTTCCATCCAGAGGAAGTTATTTTCCCTGTACTCACGTGTGAGTGTGGTAAAACACCCGCTTGCCATGCAAACGACCAGCGTTCAATACCCACTCAGGACCAGCATTTTTTGTTATTTAATATATTGGCATCATTGTCGATCTTTAGGTGACGCACGAGATATTTTAGAGTTTTCGCTCACAACGAGCGACGCCGATGCCGAAATTTCTGTGAAACGAGCTCTGTAACGCTATCGCGTTAATAGCTGCTAACTTCAGTTCGTTATAATCTCGTGTTCCTATCGCATTCACTGCTCCGCCCTTTCAGGGAAAGACATTTCTTTTATTTTTTACTTGTGTAATGGCCGAATTTCTATTCCCACTAACTTTCTATTCCCACTGACAAAAGTGCAATTCTTCTATTTTTAACATTCAGATCAGACAATATAGTTTTTTCCTTGAATATGCATGATACATATGCATATGCATATAAGAATATACATACAGGAACCAAACATGTGTTTTGCTTGGCCCAACTGCCCCAACTTCAGAGTGGCTCATGGTGCGTTGTGTCGTGCACCTCAGGACTTACCACGAAGTTTCGCATTCATCCATTTCATAGTGTTTCTCTGCATTTTGTGAGAAACTCCATGCATCCTTTTGCTTCTCATTCTTTGTCGTCGTCTCATGTCTGCTGTGTCAGTCAAGATGAACGTATACCAACTCACTCAATAGTTTCCATTTTTATGTGTCCCGGTTCTACCATCATTAACGCCCAAATTATGTATATGAATAAGCAAACTTGCATTGTGTTTTGCACCTGATGAAGCCATCGTAAGCCGCATCCGGTCATCTGGTGTCAGTGGATAGCCAAAGACCCATGTGGTAGCAGGACTGAATGTTCGTCGTCTACCGCGCGCATGCTACTTTCTCGATTCGCGTAACCATGTAGTCACAGAATGCGCGGGTGTTTGTGAGCGCTCAGTTCAGTTCAAAGGTCATTAACGGAAATCTCGGCAATCATGAAATGCTATGGCGCGTTGCCGATCCCGTGGCACAGTTTTCATACATGGTGATCGGCCATCGTGTATAAAATCTGTGAATATTAACACGTGAAATGTCTGCCTCAATGAAACAGTGGCTACGGTGCTCGGCTGGTGAATTGAAGGTCGCATTTTCATGGAAGTGAAATTGTAGTGGCGAGTTTTCTGTGCGTTGCGAGCACAACACCTACAGATGGTCGAAATTTACGGAGCCCTCCACTATGCCGTTTTTCGTAATCACACCGTGGTTTTGGGGCGTAAAACTTCAGATATTGTTTAGAACGTGCAAGGAGAGCAATGATAGACGTATAAGGTAAGTCGCTTCGTGCCGTCTCTGGGCTACACGAGCATTTAGGCTTATCTCTACAGCAGGCGTGTCGGTCGACGGCTGTTTCGCTGTGTGATTAGCAAGCACCTTTTTTTTTTTGCAAAAACTAATTTTTTAGCGTATTGAGTACCGTATTTACTTTTTTGTAGTGGTAACGCATACAATACTGCCCGTGACACTACTTGGAGTGGCGGAACACTTATGCGGCACTTTCAGTAGGTCAATTATTTGCTCATTTAAAGTTTGGGCTATACATACGAAACTCCAGCATTGCATCCATGATTTGCCTCTTAACAACGAATTGTAGTGTACGCAAAAAATGACTTACCACGTTTAGGTATGCGTCGTCATCTATTTAGATTATGGCTGTGCAGCTAGCTGGGCAATCTACATATTGATTTGTTCTTCTAGAGCTGAAAACAAATGCAATAGTATTGCGATTCCTTCCTCGTACCCGTAGCGAAAAATGATCTACCAGCCCAAAATAAAATTTATATGGTTTTTGCGCTTGGGAAAGCCACAAGTGGTATTTATTGGCATGAGGTGGCTTAAGGCATGCTGCATATTTCAAGAACCCTGAAGGTTGCTGCTTTTTTTATCGCCACATTCCCCGCCAACTTGAACTGTTACAAAAGGTTGGAGCCATCCGATTCTTGCGCCGGTCATACTGACGGCTCCTTGACGTCGTCCAACATCAAGTAACGTCTCACGAGACGCCAGCAGTCTTCGTTGAGGACGTCTAGTTGAGCACTCCCATCCTGGCTTGGGTGGAAGTCCACTCGCTCCTTGACGACGCCAGCGTATCGCATGAAGTCTTCAAGACCCTCGATGCGTGCGAGCTGGTGTCGAACCGCCAAGGCCACTCCTACCTACATTCCCCGCCAACTTGAACTGTTACAAAAGGTTGGAGCCATCCGAGTCTTGCGCCGGTCATACTGACGGCTCCTTGACGTCGTCCAACATCAAGTAACGTCTCACGAGACGCCAGCAGTCTTCGTTGAGGACGTCTAGTTGAGCACTCCCATCCTGGCTTGGGTGGAAGTCCACTCGCTCCTTGACGACGCCAGCGTATCGCATGAAGTCTTCAAGACCCTCGATGCGTGCGAGCTGGTGTCGAACCGCCAAGGCCACTCCTACCTCGTCGATTTCTTGCACGTAAGCCAGCTGTTCCATAAGTACACGGTGTTCGTACACTCGCTCAAGGGCGGCTGCATGGTACCTAGTAGACAAAAAATACAAGAGCTGGACAAAATATACAAGACTTGGTACCTTCACGCAGTATACGAGGGATCATTGGTCAGCTGCCAGCTCGTGATAAGTTCACGTGCTACGTGGCGCCATACAGGCTGATAAAGAGTGTTCCACACTCACTGCATTGGCTACTGGAGGTTCTCATTGACCCTCCCACGTTTATTACCCCATAAAGCGTACGGGTGAAAGCCGCCATGGTAGCTTAGTTTGTAAAGCATCGGACGCGTTATTCGCCGATCGCTCGTTCGGTCCCTGCCTACGGCAAGTTATCTTTTCGTCCACTTATCTTTCTGTACATTTACATTACAATTACTTATAACACTCCCTATACTTTTCTTTAAATAATTGTCTGTTAGATCTGACTAATACAACGCCTAAGAAAACGATCCCTTAAACTGCGCACTTGTTTCTGTAAGAGTGTGCGTATGCACACGTGTACCCTCATGAACAGCACTTTATCTTTGTCCACTGCAAAATGAATGCCTTTTCAAAAAACAATTTCTCATTTACGCCATCATGGAGATGTCATCTCATGTCTGAAAACATTTGCAGTTTCACCGCCCCGACGAACATTCTGGCTACGGATACCTGTGCTGCTCATCCAGGGATAATGACAAGTGGATCACCTTCAGGTTACAGTGGGTTGAGGTGGGGATCCTAAGTGTTGTGTTTTTATTATGTGTAATAAAATTGTGTTGTCTTTAACTATGTCACCGTGGAAATTTCGGTGTCTGTGTGGTAGTCGTTAGTTGTGAGCGAAAAATCATTATCTTCATATGGACGCAAAAATTGAGAAAAATAAAACAAAATGAATAATTTTTGCGGGTCACAAGAGAGAATCAAACCCAGGCCCTCTGCGTGGCAAAAAGGTGTTCTGCTAGGCAGCCACGCGTCTACTTGGAAGTAGACTGAAAATGACTTCCTTTTAAATTCAATGAGAAAAAATTCTCTCCAAAAACTATATGATGACGATGGGCGAAGCGAGGTCTTAAGACTCATTATCTCTACGTTCAAGTCGCCAACTAGTACAAAGTATGGACGGATGCACGGACGGATGGATTGACAGGTCGACAGAAGCACAGATGGACGTAAGGACAGTGGCACGACCAGACGGACGGAAAGATGCACGGACGAGTGGACGGCGAGGGTGACCACATATTGGGCTGTTATAAACTCGGTCGATGTACGTATCAAGTTGGGTTTTCACACGAATGTTCTCGTTTTTCATTATTCAGGTGTTTAGTCCTGAAGACGCAGACAAGGTTAGGCTCTTAGGAGCTACGCCCCTAATAATGTTCATGCTTTACAAAAACACACGTCCTGTATAGAAGATTCAGAATACTACATGTCATATCGCGGTAATATTGCGTACTAGTTACAAGCGTATATTGTCATCGGGAGTCGGAGCGTGTGATGATCGTAACAACTTCATGCTGGATACCCATTGCAAGATCTACGCATTTGCACGAAGTGAGTGATGACGAGTGGGCGAAGCTAGGACATAAGGACGGTCGGAAGAACAGGTGGACGGAGGCACGAACGGAGAGAAGGTCACCCATTACAAAGCTACGCATCTCTACGAAGCGAACGATTCACACTTTCTTTTTACATTCACACAATAACTAGTGCATCACATGCTGGGGAGACACTTACATGACACATCTACATGCACTACAAGTACTGCGAAACCAACTTAATAGCGTTCATTGCTTTTAATGACGACGACGCGTTTTTTTTTTTTTTTTTTACAGTCAAACTGCATATTTTTTTCAGTTTCAAAACTCGTCATGTATTGCCTTACCAGATTCGGATTCAAGGATAATAACTTCAGATGATTCGATTGCAATACCCCCTATCATATCTAGATAATAATAATACTACAAGATTTGCACCGAATAACAACTTCGCCTTACCTAAAATAAGTACTAATTGTGGAAAAGAAAGCGTCTTTTTCTCATCCACCACTGTTTGGAATTTCATACCCATGGAAATCAAAACACTAAAAAATCTTGAATTTAAAAACAATTGAAAGAGTATATACCTGCAATCTTCGATTTTTTATATCTTTGTAATCTTGTTCCCTTGGTATTGTTACTGATGACCTCGTTCTTGCTACTTTGTGTGGCTTCTTTCGGTTTAATTTATTTTTCTTACACTTCAATCTTTTTCTATTTTCACATCTTGTAATGCGTTTGTTTCATATCCTGTAACAAGAATTTATTTTAGTTCTGAAAGGGAGGTCCCATTGCAGTCCAGTCTGACTTCGCGACCTCTTCCTCTATATTATTGCTATGAAGTCTTCGTACTCATTACAGTAAAAATGATTCTGATACTAATTTTCATAGCGAGTGGACATCATTAGGACAGATGGCCGGTTGTTCGAACAGCTGAACGAACAGGTGGATGGATGCATGACAGACGAACGGACGGCGAGGAGCACCACCGGATATGGCTCATGGGGATCATGTACTGTGCATGTGCCTGATTTATGTACACATTAAATCTAGTTTTACTCAGATGTTTTCATTTTTGTTGTGGATATGTTCAGTTGTAGCATCGGTTTCACGGAGCGTGATGAACAACAATGCTTAGCCCTAAGGAACGTTAACCCTAAGAGGCACGGATGTTACTGCGCGTACTGCCTTAAGATCACGCAACGGGTGCATAACAGGTCCGAAAACATTTTGCGCGCATAATTGATTGTGGTTGAAAGCATGCTGTCCATTCCAGAAAATGCAGTGCTAACTCAATGATTGCAAGAAGTCTCGCTAGCCTCCACAGTGTTGCACCTGATGTATGAAACGAAGTATAGTCGGCACGTTGTGAATACACTTTCCTGATAGCGTCTAGACATCATAATTTAAGTAAGCACAGCCACAGACACCGCATTGCGAACCAGGTGAAATGCTTTACTCGCGGGCGAACTCTCCTCACAATGCAGTGAAGACTACAGAGCTGAATCACGCGTATCCTACCTCGAATGAATGTAACCCTGCAATTGCGTTGTTATTAAAGACGATAGTCTTTCCTGGGAACCTTCGACGCAAAAATTTTGGTCTGTCTGTCTGTCTGTCTGTCTGTCTGTCTGTCTGTCTGTCTGTCTGTCTGTCTGTCTGTCTGTCTGTGTGTACATTTGTCTGTTTGTCTGCTCTTAACGGCATTGGGTATTGAAACGGCCGGCCCAACCCGCAGCGCCCACCAATGTTGCTCAAAGTTGAGCGTTCATGCTTGAGTAATTGTCAATAAAAAAGCAATTATTGCGCATGTCTGGGGCACCTTAACAACACGTATATATTCTAGAAAAGGCATACATAAGTAATTTAAAAAAAACTGTAGCGCTTATCACTCTACGCTGACCATGCAACGCTTGCGTGGAAAGGCGAATGTTTCCAATGCTCTGCTAAGATGAGATGGTGGTGGCACCTACCCGTCGCCTTTCGTTCTACAACTTATCACCTCTGAAATGGGCGCGCACACCCGTCTCAGAGCCACGTGCTTTGTTTTCTAACAAAACTGCCAGATGGCGCTCATGTCTCACGTGTGACGTACCTTGATGCGATCGTTCGCTTCCGCTGCACACTCGAGGCACTCTAACCAAGCGCCTTCAGAATACCATTCAACTATTTTCTTGCGCAGAACATCAAATAAATCTCTTATTCACTCTCTCCACACGCAAAACTATCGTCTTTCGGCGACTTTTGCAGAATCAATGCAGATACGGAGCCAATTTTTTTACGGAGATATAAAAAGAACTTGCTGTATTTTTCGCATTTCCCCGCCGCGGTGGTCTAGTGGCTAAGGTACTCGGCTGCTGACCCGCAAGTCGCGGGTTCAAATCCCGGCTGCGGCGGCTGCATTTCCGATGGAGGCGGAAATGTTGTAGGCCCGTGTGCTCGATTTGGGTGCACGTTAAAGAACCCCAGGTGGTCGAAATTTCCGGAGCCCTCCACTACGGCGTCTCTCATAATCATATAGTGGTTTTGGGACGTTAAACTCCACATATCAATCAATCATTTTCGCATCTATCTCGTTGGCACAAGACGTAGTTCACACCAGTACGATATCGATATTTAGCTGCAATGCACGGCGCTTCAGCGACCATGGAAATGATAGTACACCAATTTGTCTAATCTTTCGTACTTTCGGCTCCATTTGGCTTGGAGTTGCTTTGACACGAGCTGAAAATCAGCAAAGTTACGCCTCACCACTTTAAACTGTAGCGTCATCATCATCGCCATTCATCATCACCGTCATTTTTCTAAGCACCGCGCTGCGCCTATCGTGCAGCTCATGTCACTGCTCGAGGCGCGAGCTGGATGAGATCGTGCCCACGCTCCTGGCGGTTTTGGAAGCTGCAACCGCCACCGCTCCGCTTCGGCAAATCGCCTTTGATAATAAAGTGGCGAGACAACGGCACGACCACCTTGGCCGCCGTCCTGTTTTCCTCTTTCGCTACATTGGTGACCCGGAGAACACGCCCTTCGCCGAGCGGCCCTTTCTCATGCTTCCGCAATTCTGCCCTCCAGTTCCACCATTCCACTCAGTCTAACCCCGAGCGTGGTTTATGCGGCTCGATGCCATTCTCGCGGTCAATGGCATCAAGGCACAGCCGATGATGCACACTGTCTTTCTGGACGCCCTCCCGGTTGAGCTGCGTCTTCTAGCCGCCGAGTCGTCCTCTAGCCCGCGACCCCTCGATGACCTCGGCGCTGCGGTGCCCGCCAGCTACGGTGAAACCTACCGTCCGCTTCCGGGGAGCCACGAGTTACAGGTGTCCCCTCCGCCCCAGCGAGTGGTACCAGACGGCCCGCAGCTCTACCTTGACAAAGACCTCACTTCCCCGGCTTTGACTACATCTACCTCTGATCCGGTCGCAGGAATATCCAATCCTGCACCTGACCACGACCATGAGGTAGAAGACGCGACTGACCTCTTCTCCGAGAAGCGCATTACCTCGGAGCCCGCGTACGCAGCTCCGTCACACGTGCCTGCCACCTGCATATCTTCCGTGACATCGACGGCACGCGACACCATGGCCTCACCCGACTTCACGACAGCTACCTTGCCGCACGCCTCAGAGTCTGGCGCAGACATCCTTGGACCCGCTGTTCACCTCTCGGTCGTGGAACCTTCACGATCATGTCGCGGGGTGACTCTCTACCAACCACAACGCTCTGCGTGTCCTGCCAGCAGCGACCAGCATCACGCTCGCAGTTTCCCGCAGCCGAAGTTAAAGCCACCAGCCATCAAGCATGGCCAAACTTTCCGAGACGCTGCGACTCTGACCGACGCTCCTGAGGACGACGTGCCTGGTCCGCCTATGACACAACAGACGGCACCTTGTGTACCACCCACACAGGCGGACAACAACCAGGCTGCCCGGACGAGCACGAGTACGCCAACCGACCTTCCGGTAGAGCTCACGCCTAATGAGTATCATGACCGCCCTCCGGAGTCCTTGTAGGGTGACACGACCTCGCAACAATGCACCTTGAATTGAGACGTGCTCCTCACCAAGGCCGAGGCGTCCACTACCTCTCCGTGGCGCATCGGATGACCAGTCGCTGTGGACCTACTTGCCTGCCATGACCTTCGTGCGCTTCTTCGAGCACGGCGTTTCCACGTCCGTCGACTCGGCCACCCGCACCGACACGGCAGCCGCACTGTGACGCTTAGGTCGGTGTTTTGTCGACGGTGTCGTCCGCATCAGCACGGCCAGCCAACTGCTCTTTGTCGACAGCCTTGTCGGCACCATATGCTCTGTCGGAGACACCACCGCGACCGTACCATATCTTTGCTCGGTCATCATGGCTCCGCTTTGATCCATCCACTGCAGGATAAAGGCCTCTCCCGTGTTCCACCACTCAACCCGATCCTGTGCTTTCGTCTGCCACTTTATACCCGCAAACCTCCTAATTTCATATGCCCACATAACTTCCTGTGTCCCTCTAACCACTTTCCTTATCTGGGAATCCAGTCAGTTACCTTTAATGAGCAGCAGTAAATATTTCATCTTCTTGATTTGAACTATGATATCCTTAACCCCAGTTTTTTTCCTCTAAAAAAGAACTGTTGGGCCAGTAGCCAGAAGCTAGTGTAGGTCCATAACCAATATACATATATCAGCTACAACATCATATGCATATCTAGTTCTCAGATACAAGACCTTAATGGGGAGGCAATATACATAAACTCAACATCAAATAAAAGCAAAGAGTGCATACTACACGAACTCCGGAAAAAAACATAATTTGGCACAATACGAAGTACAACCGAAGTATATTGCGAAAAATCACATAATTTTTAGAGGTACATTTTTTTCACAGCAGGCGTGAAACGATTAGCTTTTTTTTTACTTCATGGGGTATTGCGTTCGAAATTTGGGTCCCATAAAACTCGAACATTCATTGGCCGTATGTGTTTGTAAAACTGGCAAGTTGAAATCAATATTTGTTGCATTCGTTGGGTTGATATTAGGTGTAATTAACACACTGGTTGATAAAGAGTAATTCCCACGCAAAATATTATTTATCAGAACGGCCACTTTCAGTTCACCAGTCATGGGGAATGATAGTATACCGAGCTGATTGCAAAGCAAGTTATTATCTTTGAGTGCTCGTGTGTAATTCTATGCGTAAGACCTTTTTCTGCAAGCGAATGATAGAATATAAGTATGTTTTTAGGTGTACCAGACCATGATTCGGAATAATTTATGGTGTGACAGTGAAATATGGAAAAGTAAACAATTTTAGGTATGCTAAGATTAAAGCCATCTCTGCATTTTATTAGCAAAAAGCAAGCAGAACCTCATTTGGTACATATATTAGATATGTGTGGTCTCCAGATGGAGTTGCAGTCCAATAATACCCCTAAATACTTTATTAGCTGTAGTTCTTCTATTGTTCTATCTACTAGCTCAATTTGCAAGCCTGTTGTGTCACACTTGGTATTTCGGTAACGGAATACTATACATATTTTGTCTTCTCTCGGTTCAGTGGTAATATATTACATGCAAACTATGCTGATATGCCACATAGCTCGCTATTTATTGTATTCTAAAATTCGCTAAGAGATTTCCCTGACTCGGAATGATAGCGTCGTACCATTGGTATAAATAACAAATTTTGATTACTTTAGTGCTGATGGGAGGTCATTAACGTATAGCTAGATTAGAATGGTCCCCTATACTGATCTTTGCGGAACCACCACAGCAACAGTGAAATATTGGGAAGCAAATGAACCAATTCTAACAAATTGTTTTCGACCATTTAGATAGCTTGAAAAAAGGTTCATTGTATACGTTCGCAATTTTTCCGAAGTATGGAACGACAGACCGTGTCAAACGCTGTTTTTCTATCTAAAAATATCCCGACGGCTCGTTCTTGTCTAAAACTGTGTGTATACTCTGGGTTAGTTCTAACACTGAAGATGACGTTGATGTATTAGTTCTGAAACCATGTTGAAATTCTATTAGAAGCTTGATTTAGTTTAGGCACTGCTTCAACAGAGTTGCGGTTACCCTTTCAAATACAGTATTTTGAATGCTAATTAGAGAGATAAGCCAATAGCTTCCGGGGCCATTAATATCGCCACTTCTGTATGTAGGAGAAACTCTTGCGATTTTTAAAATGTCAAGGTATATGCCTCGGCTTATTGAGTCGATAAGTATTTCCGTGAGTACTGGTACTAGAACATACCTATTGTCTTTCAATGATTTCGCGGTAATTCCATCATGGCCGATAGCTTTGTAACAAAGCATACCTGATGCAATAGAGGTTACTGTATGTTCATGAACGTCATTCAAGAAAAACGCCGTATGAGTGACCTGGTAATCGACATTGCTTTCAGTGGCTGGAATATGGTCAGCGAACTTAAGACCGATGCTAGTGAAGTACGCATTGAAATTATCGGTGCACTTGGCGTGAACATGTTTAGGGGTGATCGGCTTTTTTAATTGGGATATTCATTATTCCTTTTAAAACCTCCCAAATCTTTTTTAATTACCCTGTGCTTGTTGTGCTAGTAAGTCGTTGCATTATTTTTTCCGCCTCTGCGTAAGAGCTACTACTCGATTACAAGATATCAGAAAATTTTGAAAATATTAAGTGTTGTCTTTCTGCATATGCCATTTTTAGTACTACCAATCATTTTGTTTGATATCAGTGAGTTTATTTGCTTTGTTTATATGTTGCGTACTCAGATACTATCTGTAGGGAGTCAGTTGCAATGCTTGCGCATTCGATACGAGTGTCACTGTTAAACACATATTTAAAATATTTTTCTTTGTCTGCTACAGATTTTTATAATTATCCCTTCGATTTGCTGAGTAGTTATTCTTAGCAAAAGTATTCTTCACTTACTATAATAGTGCGAAAACAGGGCAGTGGCTTGTCTCATATACGATTGAAAAACTGTCATCACGGTTGCACAAAACATGGTTTTTAGTCTTAGATGCACAGGTTCAAAATCTAGTAGGTTCACGGATTGTAATGTAAAAGCCATTTGACTGCAGCCGGTGTATATATTCAGAATTTAGGTCTTCGCCGACGTCAACGTTAAAATCACCAACAGCGGTGCCATAGCCTTTAGTACTAAGGGTGCAAAGGATAGATTCCAACGATCGATAAAAAGTGGGCGGACTCGAGCTTGGCGGTCGGTATATTATACCAACACCCACGCTTGAATATAAATGAATAAAGAGAGATTCAGCTGAACTGTTACTGATTTCAATATGTGGGAGTACCCTATAAGAGAACGCCTGCTTAATTAGTAAAGCCACTCCACGACCACGTGATTTAGCATCCCTGAGATTGCTTATAAGACTGTATCCAGGAATGAAGATGTACTCACCTTCTCTAAGCCATGTTTCTGTTAAACCGATAACATAAAAAAACTATGCTGTGCTAAAAACGAACACAACATATCTTTGTTTCTACGAATACTTCGAATGTCGCAATGAAATTCGGATATGCACTGTGTGTCGTGAAATTCGCGTTCGACTTCATGAATTGAAAGCGCCATACTTGGTGGGGTGATCTGAAATACGAGAGTCCGCTAAACTACCTTTCGGAGATCGTCCTCAGAAGTGATGTGAAGTACACGAGAATTGTCGGGTTTCCGCATTAGAATTTTGGCCTGTGATACCCTAACATACTTCCAATTTTTCTCTTCTCATCTGGCATGCATTTGCCAGAAGAATCTTATTCTCTTGGCGGAGATGTCATTTGATAAATATAGGCTCATTGTTTTGAAAGCCAAGTTTGGATGTAGACAATCTATTTTTCTTGGCATTCCTGATCATTTACTCTCGGAGTGCAAAAGAGGTAAATGTTACCACAATGTTCTGTTCAGCTTTATTTTTTGTCAGATCACGGAGCACTACACCGATGTCTTCAGCATGAAGTTTCATTTTCAAGGAAGTTGCTATTTTATGCATCATGTCTGGTAATAATTCATTTGCTGACATAGGAACACTTCTAACTTCAAGTTATTCCGATGACTGTATTGTTTGAGCTTGATTATTTCTAGTCGCATTTCCTTTACTTCCCCCTATAGCTGGCAAACATCCCAATAATTCCAGCCTGCTGGTGTTTCATTACTGATAGTTCGTGGTGCCCATTGTGTACATTAGTCTTAAGTTGTTCAAATGTTCTGTTCATGACATCCATGGAACTCTTGATCTCCTACATGTCTATCTGAGACTGTTTGTTGTCTTCTACTAAGCACTGAATGTGCGATGTGATGATTTATTGCTGTTATACTTTCTAGCTCCGAAGTCATGTCGAACAAAACTTTGGCTAGTTCCTCATCGGTGCTTGGTGGTTTGTCGCCAAGACCCAGTCCAAGTAATTATATTGGGTTTCCACCTATTGCAAGATTCATTCAACAAGGTTACAATTTAACATTGCAGAGCGATCCACGAGCTATAAATTGACGTTACTATAAACGCAAAAACGCTTACGTACCTGCAATCACACAAGAAGTGGCTTTAGTACTTAAGCTGATGCTATATGCTGCCTGGATTGCTCTGAGGCGATTATGGCTCCGAATAAACCGGGCATGTGTAGCATGAACGAGATGCGTAATTTGCCAGAACAGCCCTTCCATGGAGCCGCCGTTGGAGCTTGATCATTCGTAAGAGCGGCAGTTCCGCCTAGGAACACCAGTTGAGTCCCGCACCTGGTGATCACGCCCTTTACAATCAGCCTTTTGTAGATAGGCCGCTCCGATGCGCCCTCAGAAGCTTTATGGATAGAAGCCTGCAATCAACCCAGAAGCAGGTTTAGTACATGAATGATGGTATGTGCTGCCTGGATCGCTCTAAAGTCCCCTGACCTACACTGCTGTTTTTTTTTTTTTGTCTCTTAAGGTTACACCTATCATTTCCCTTTCCATCGCTGGCTGCATCGTACTCAGTTCAAGCTGAACCTTCTATGTAAGCCTCCAGGTTTCTGCTTAGTAAGTAAGTATCGGCAAGATGCAGCTGCTATATACCTTCCCCCTGGGGGATAGTGGCACTCTACCAGTCATGATTTGACAGTGCTTGCCGAATGTGCTCCACGCCATTCTTGTTCTTCTAGTTACTTCAATATCATGGTTTGGGTCCGCGATTATTACCTGCCCTAAGTATACGTATTCTTTTACAACTTCAAGTGCACTATTACATATCTCGAAGTTCTGTTCTCCTCCGGTGTGTTGTGTTTTACTTTTGTTCTCTCCAAAATAACTTCAAGGCCTACCTTTCTGCTTTCCTTGTATAAATCAGTAATTATGAGTTTCAATTTGTTCCCTTAGTTACTCAGATATGCTGAGTAATCGTCGAAGCGCAGGTTACTATTGTAGTCACCAATAACACTTATCCCTAAATCCTCGCGATCCAGGCCTCGGAAAACCACCCGCAAGCGCGCGGTACACAGCATATGGGAGATTGTATCCCCTTGCCATACACCCTTCTTGATTGATATTCTGTAGCTTTCTTTATGGAGCACTATGGTGGCAGTTGATTCTCTATGGGCGTCTTCCATATGTTTATATATGCTTCGTGGACGCCCTGTTTCCGCAATGTCTTTATGACTGCTGATATTTCTATTGAATCAAATGCCTCCTCGTAATCTATCAGGGCTATGTATAGTGGTGGCAGGCAATGCTGCTAGTGAGGATCAGGTAACACCAGATCTTCTGTAAGGCGGAGGACAGATTGTGTTAGAAAAACTAGTAACCCTGTTAACGAAGTGTCTGCTGACGGGGAAGCTACCAGAATATTGGAAGAATGCTAACATCATCTTAATACATAAGAAAGAAGGTGACAAGGACTTCAAGAATTGCAGGCGGATATCAGCTTGCTCTCCTTCGTATACAAGCTATTGACAAAGGTTAATGCTAACAGAATAAAGAAATAATTAGAATTGAATAAACCAGCTAGATAACAATTAGTACTTCAAACTGGCTACTCACAATCGACCTGGGATCGTGACGCTTTTCGTAATCCCTCGCATAACGTCACACCTATTGTAGTTCCACAGTGCCCTTTTTTTTTTCATTACAGCTGCATTCCTGTTGCCATTAGTCATTACGTATTTTCCGTTTTCCCTTAGGTACTCAGCCAAGTTGTTTATCCACATGCCCCGATATTTGTATTTATCCACTATCTCTAGTCTGACTTCCTGTATTTTATGCTCACAGCATTCGTTTTCCTTAAAGATCAATATGCCAATTTTTCCCTACTGAACTTCGTGATTAACCTATCCCCCTCATTACCGCAGATGTCTATCAATCCCTGCTGATCTTCCTCGTTGCCAGCTATTAATACTACATCATCTGTACACATTATAGCTAGTAATGACTGTTCAACGTGTTTTCCTTTTTTAGAAAAAGAGAGGCTAAAGCCGAGCAATATTACGCAATCTAGCGGTTGGTCAAAGCCTTTCTTTCTCGGCCGCGAAAAGGCTCAAGCGGCCACTCTATACGAAAGTACAGTTATCTATACTCAGACCACGCTAATTTGTTTACATCTTATCATTACCAAGGTCACTGAACGTTAGTGGTGCCAGAGTGCCCTCCAGACACCCTCTTGCCAGGCGGTACATAAACGAGGCCCGCCTTGCGTTGAGAAAGCTGACAGTGATGAGATGCCAGTTCGGCTTGTGCCGGGACAAGTCAAACATCTTGTGATGGAATAGTGGCGGGGTTATGAGGCCGGGTAAATCCTACAGTTGCACCTCGACTACGTCACACTCTGGATCGACGCGCTGAATCTCCGCAAATGTTTTAGCCGCACTCGCGTAAAAAGCTGATAGGGTTCCCGCACGGGGCACGCAGTGAGAGAGGGCGCCCGTCGAGAACTGCCGTAAGCGCGTGCTAAGGAAGAACGACGCGAAGCTTCGCGTGAGTGTCATGTCCGAGTCTAAACCTACACGGGTCCATCTGACGTGAAGCGCTCTGGCCATGAGCCTCAGGTCGGGGACTCTGAGTCCCATCCGATCTCTGGGCAACTTCAGGACCGGCTCCCCACGTATATAAATACATGAACCGCTCCATAGAAACTGGAAAAGAGTCTGTTCCAAGCACTTTTTGGTTCAACTCGTGACCGGCATAACACAAGCCACGTGAGTTAAACCAAGAAGAGTAACGATGTTGCGATCGTTACACTTGCAGTCAGCGGACAAGAGAGTTTGTCGAACTCCTGAATTCTGGCTTTAAGCTTAGCACACTTCTGCAGGGGAAGGCCTTGCCAGCCCCACTTAACTCCGACTTCTCACATTATTCAACACAGCTACAGCTGCGCGTTATAAAAGTGTAACGATTAAGAGTACGTCGTACTCTACGATGGGAGAGCAAGGAGCCGTCCCACTTGCATAACTCCGTTCAAACCGCCTAAGGTACGGAATACTGCTTTCGCAGACTTCCTTAACGTTCCGCAACTCTCTTTTTCTATCCCACTGTTTAGACGATGGCGTTCCAGACACTGCGATCAGACTCAACTCCGTCTTTAAGGTATAAGGCAAAAAAACTTGTTTATTTAACTGCGTTCGGAAGCGCTCTGCTGTCACTTGAGCGTCCCCGCGTCCCTCGCTCGCGCTCTTCTTCTTTCTCGTTTCCTTGTCCCAGCTCAGAACGTGAAAAATAATCAACATTCGCGCAAAGTTAAACACATAGTTCAAGTGGGTACAGTCTTTGTATCGGCCTGATCGCAAGGTGACCGCCTTGCAACTTGATCTTGCAAGAACGAATGAGACCGTCTGCACTGCGTTACACTTCCGTGACCCTTGCAAGCTTCCATAGCTGGCGTGGAGTGTTGTCCGCATGCACGAGAACGATGTCCCCTTGCTTCAATGCTGTATTTGATTTCGTGTCGGCAAAGTGTGCAGAACGTAATTGCAACAGGTATTCTTTTTGCCAACGCTTCCAAAAGTTTTCAACCAGCAGCTTCCTGTAGTTGTGTCTGCGTATGGCGTCTGATCGTTTGGGATTACTGTTGACTTCGTCAGCGGTCGCATACGGTATGGAAGTCAATTTTCGTCCAAGGAGAAGTTCGGCTGGCGTCAAAGTGCAAGGTTCTCCTGCATCTGTCTCGGTGAAAGTCAGAGGCCTAGAGTTTACGACTGCTTCGACCTCCGCCAGCACTGTCAATATTTCTTCGTAGTTCAGACGAGCTTTGCCGATAATTTTTCGCAGCGGAAGCTTCACTGATCGTACAAGGCGCTCCCACCGCCCACCCCACCAAGGAGCATTTGGTGCTATAAACTTCCACGAAATGCCGTTGGTGCTGAGGTGACCAGCGACGTCCTCTTCAGAGAACATTCGGTTTAGCCGCTTTATGTCTGCAGATGTTTTGTGAAAGCTTCGTGCGTTGTCAGAATAGATCACCCTAGGTAATCCTCTCCGAGCTGCAAATCGTCGTATACACAGCAGGAAAGCCTCGGATGTCATTTCCGAGACAAGCTCGAGATGCACGGCTCTAGATACGGCGCACGTAAAAAGTGCAACGTAGCACTTCGTGTCCCCTTTCTCCGTGCGTGCATACAGAGGGCCCGCGAAGTCGACTCCTACAACTTCGAACGGGTTCGTTGGTGTCACTCGATGACTTGTTAACGGAGCAGTCTCAGCAGTTCCTGGGCCCGCACTGAAACGCTTGCATATATTGCAGCCATGCAGCACTCTTTTTACCAAACAGCGAGCTCGACAAATCCAGTAGCGTTCCCGAAGCTGCGTAAGTGTATCTCTAACTCCTCCATGTAAGACTTGAAGATGGGCTCTGTTTGCCAAAAGTGTCGAAAAGTGGTGACTTGACGGCATTATGATTGGGTGCTTGACATCTTGTGTGGAATGCATGAGGGATAAACGGCCTCCAACCCGAAGAATTCCGTCTTTGTCTATGTAAGGGCGTAGTTCAGCGATTCGAGATGTAGACTCGACTGGTTGGCCGTTGGTCAAAGTGGTGAGTGCTTCAAGAAAGCCTTGCTCTTGTGTACATTTTATCCAATACAGTTCAGCGTTCAGGATTTCTGTTGCTACGAGATGTCCTGTATGATTATTTCTTTTTCTGCATCGGTCCGTAAATCTGAAAATCCACGCAGTGACTCTGAGTAGCTGTTGAAGCCTGCTGTACCATTGAATATCAATTATCGGAACTGAGAAGCGTGTCATTAGTGCGACGTGGATTGTTGTAACTTCACCTTGGGTGGCTTCCGCTATGTCTAGTTCATAGAACTGTAGGGGCCATTCAGACATCGGTTTAGTTAGCCACTCGGGACCATGCCACCATTTTGAGCTGCACAGCAGTCTTTCAAGCGTCGCGCCACGTGTGAGTAGGTCAGCCGGGTTGTCCGTTCCAGGACAGTATCTCCACTTTGATGGATCTGTAGTGCACCTAATTTCATTGACTCTGTTGGCTATGAACTGTTTCCACTTTTTGACGTCACCTTTTATCCATGACAACACAATGGCGGAATCTGTCCACATCGTGTAGTCAACTTGAACATTCCTCAAAGCCCTTTTCACGTATGCCAACATTCTTGAGCCGATTAAGGCAGCCAGCAGCTCCAATCGCGGCAGCGTTGTCTCCTGAATGGGTGCTACACGGGACTTCGCAATCAACAGTATCGGCTCCTCAGGACTTCATACGACGTATATCGCTGTTCCGTATGCCGCTGGACTGGCATCGCAGAAAACATGTACTTGAAGCACATTGGTATTCCTTGCTCCGCCGCCCAGATAGCGAGGAACGACGACGTGTTGCAGTTGCGGCAGCTGGATGACCCAATCATTCCATTCTTTTTGCAGGTCATTGGGTAGGACTTCATCCCAGCCAATTCCTCGTATCCACAGTCTGTGAAACAATATTCGTATGGCAATAGTATATGGTCCTACAAATCCCAACGGGTCAAATATTCTTGATGCTGACTGCAAGACAAATCGTTTTGTACCCGTCTGTGCTGTCAAAAACCGGAGTAGATTTTCAACCGAAAAGTTGAATTCATCCTTTGCAGGATTCCAAACCAAACCCAGGACCTTGACCGACGTTTCGTGAAAAACGACCATCTCATTACTAGTAGATTCCACTTGATTTTCAAGCGTGCGCATCAAATTTGCTGATTTTGTTGTCCATTTTCGCAATGTCATGCCGGCCTATTTCATTATTGTGCGCGCTCATTATTGTGCGATAAGTACGCTGATGCCACTCTTAGTTATGATAGATGGATGTTGGAGCTCATCGGCAACATCGTTTCCCAGCTTCTTGAAAGACGCAACGAAGGCTACGTCCATTGCAGTCTCTGCGATGTCTTGGCAGATGCTTGGGATCTCTATTGCAGTTAAGACTATTTCCGCGTCGGAAAACTGGCTTCGCAGTCGTAGTTCTACTATGCGACGCCTCTTAGCCTCTTGGTCCGATGTATTTGCGAAAGTATTGAAGGCTATTCGAGTTGCTCCCACGCTTTTCAGCTTGAGGTGCTTGGACAGATCTTCAGTTACGAAAGTCCTCTGACTGCCACCATCGAAAACGCCTCGTATGTAGCGGCAGGTGTCATCATTCATGGCCCATGCTCTGAAAGTCTGAAGAAAAACGGAAGTGGTAGAGTCTTCCTTGACGGGTCTTCTTTTAAGTGATGCACAGACTGTCGTAGTTTTTTCGTAGTTCTTGTTAGCATAGTCTGACTTTCGCGAACACCTATCGGGATCGCACATGCTTGTAGCGTGTCGAGCTTGGCATCTGGAGCAGGAAATCCTCTTTTTGCAGTCCCGTGCCCGATGTCTTTTGGTAGTGCAGCGGAAACACCTTTTGTCGTTGGAAAGCAGTTCCTTCTTCTGCGTCAGTGACAAGTCAGCTGTGCAGGCTTCCGATCCGTGATGGCTGGACGAGCAGAATACGCAGTTGTCCTTTTTTTCTCGTACCAAGTTGCTGTGAAGCACAGATGACGTCGGTTTCCCACGCCGAGAGTGCGTCGACTGACTGGCCACGGGGAGTGTTTCATGTTCTCGTCCTTTGGCATCCTTAAAATCACTCTTCTCCAGGCTTTCCAGCTCGATACACAGGAAGTTGAGCACACGGTCCCGTCCCACGGGTGTAGCTTCAGCTCTCGAGTCATATGCCAACTGGACGGCACATGATCGATGATACTGCACGACTATATTCCGTGGAAGAGCACGCAGTAGGATGTCGCAGAGCATTGACGAAAATGACGACTTGTGCACACCCAAAGTCTCTAAGTCTCGGATATTCACGAGAACTTGGTCGTACAAGCTGCGTAGCGCTTTGGTGTCAGTCGATGAACGGACAGGGCTTAACATCCGTAGCTTGGCAAAATATTCTTGCTCCAGGCACGTCTTGTCCCCAAATCGCTTCTGTAGCATTTTCATGGCGTCACTGTAGCAACTTTCTGTCGTCGGAAGGCCCGCAATTACTGATGCAGCGTCTCCTTTAATATACAGTCGCAGGTGATGAAACTTCTCTGTGGCAGTGAAGCGATTGTTACTATGAACAATTTGGTAAAATTGTTCCCAAAATTCGGTCCACTTGCATAGGTCTCCAAAAAAAGGAGCTATTGTCAGTTTAGGCAATTTAACTCCAGTTCCGTCTGATGGTGCTACGACTGTCTGGGCAACTGTTTCTTGAGTTCCGGTCGATGTCCTTAGCATGCGATCTTTCTTGCTGAGAATCTCAGCGAGAATGCGCGTAGCAACGTCCTCGTATTGTAAGGCAGCGTTATACTCGTCCTCGAACTCCTCGTCAGGTATATGTGGCTCAATCTCGTTGTTTAGGTTTTTAAGCTCTTCGTTATTAGCCTTCAGCGTCTCATATATGGAGTTGAGCTGGTAATAGGAGGTAGAGTCGTTAGCTAGGAGCTCACTTGCCTCGTTTATAATCCTCGTGTTCTGTGCTCGCCGCGACGTCCGCTTCGACTTCAGTCGCTCCATGCCACTGCAGATGACTGGTAGCCGTCCGTAGGGTCCTGGTTTTCAATCCCGGTTCTTCGGCACCAATGTTTAGACGATGGCATTCCAGACACTGCGATCAGACTCAACTCCGTCTTTAAGGTATAAGGCAAAAAAAACTTGTTTATTTAACTGCGTTCGGAAGCGCTCTGCTGTCACTTGAGCGTCCCCGCGTCCCTCGCTCACGCTCTTCTTCTTTCTCGTTTCCTTGTCCCAGCCCAGAACGTGAAAAATAATCAACACCACCTCGTCAAACGACTGTAGTTGCACTAAATTTTTAAAAAATATTACATAAAAGCAATGCAAGTACAAAAAACTGAAAACTTCAAATATGTTTGGCAAAGTGTATGTAACAAAAACTTTTTATACAAATCATACAAAAAAGCTGCAAAAGAGAGGTAAAATTAGGCAGAGACTGCTGCGCCGAGCGGCGCACGAGCCACCCCCCCCCCCCCCCCCCCCGCAGATCTGGCTGCTGCGCCGCACAGAAATGACGTCACGCTTTTTTCTGGTTAGGCTCTTTGGTATATTATATCATCCACGAACGCTAACGTGTGTACACTTCGTCGCATGTCAGAAAATATAAAAAGAAAATGTGTAAATAATATGTTTGAAATTGTTACCATAATTATTAGGCATCATTATCCGTGCAGATTTTCGTTCTTTGCTGTTTCTAGCGTTCTGGTGCCATTTCACCTTTTCCCTGCCCCGATAAACAACGATGGCATCGCAGCAAGTTCACATCCACGGTTACAGTGGCTGGAATAGTGTAGGCTGGAATAGCCTACAGTAGGCTGGAATAGCCACCGTGGTACAGTGGCTATTCTAGCCACTGACCACGGTGTTCACATCCATCCTTCCTCCATGTTCACATCGAACACGGAGGAAGGAAAGGTCCTTCCTCCGTGACATCGAAGCTTGTGAGCGAGCTTGAGTGCGTGTTCATTAGGTGATCTGTATTCATCGAGCAGGGAGAAATGAAGACAGTGGTGCGTCGTGAAATATTTTATTTCCCACACATGCAATCACCGAGAATTTGTGTGCGAGTGATATCGTCAGCGAAAGGGGGACTCTGAAAGTGACACCGGCGAGCTACCAGTCTTCAGCGACACCAGCTGCTTGGAAGAAAAAGTGCGATTGGAAACTGTACGTAAAACCAATGACCATTTTCCCCAACTGCTTTGCATACGGGGTCATTGTTTCGGTTTATCTGATACGATAAAGGCTGTTTCATATGCCGCGATTGCAGCGAAAGAAATCGTTACCGTGAACGGTTACGAAGGACTTGCTTGTTTCGTCATTTAAGAACACTTCCAGTCTGAATTCATTTTAAAATGCACAGCATCGGCCATTACCAAAACAAACACGTCGACTATTTCGACGGCTTGGCCGGACCAGCCCTATTTCGACGGGTCCCAACAAAAATTGCTCCTGCCGCTGCGATCAGAGCGAAAATTGCCAACATGTTGGAAGCTCGCCGCGGACCGCTGCGGCGGGAGCGAACTACTTTTTTTTTTTTTTTTTTTCGCTGTGAGCGAATTCGCAGCCTGAAAATCGCAACTTTTTGTGTCATGTGAAACGGCCTTAACTCGCAAAAAACATGTTATTTGACAAGTTATTTCGCCGATGTAGTGCAGCGACTGCTGCTTACGAAAGCTAACGCGCTTACCTTGGATTTGGAAAATAATAAGCGTAGCCATTTGAATTCTGGTTGCAATAGTTACAGGCGCAACCGCACGGCATAGAGGAGACCCACGCCGAGGGAGGCGCTGTGGAGCATGGCGCTGTCAGTCAATGTGGGGAGAAAACTGGTTACTCGAGGGTGGCGATTTGGGCTTGTTGGTATGGTTGCATGATGATGGATGGTAGCGCAGACAACGAACACGGACAAGAGAAGGCACATAGACACAACACAGCGCTGTGTTGTGTCTATGTGCCTTCTCTTGTCCGTGTTCGTTGTCTGCGCTACCATCCATCATCATGGTTACTCGAGTGTTGGCCCCTCCGCTGTCCCATTCAACCCGCTTGAAAACGCGTTGCTTTGCTCGCACGCTGCACGCGTTCTGCACGTGTTTTTGAGAGTCTCGCGTCGCGCGCGGTTGTCCGCATTTAATAGGATGACGCAATTGAGGATTTTTTATTTTTTTTCGTGGCAGCAATTTGGTAAAAGGGCAGCGAAGCAAGTTGTAGTAGACGACGCCGTCCTCGTCAGAGCGAAGTGCGTTTCGCAAGTGAAAGACGACGCTGTTTACGACGTTAGAGGTGAATAAAACTTTCTGTGCGTTCATAATTATATACCTGTTTTATTTGGTTTACTCTGTGTACTATGCACTATGTTTGTTACTGGATGCATGGGTAAGGCCGCTTCTCGTGCTTTAGATTAAGCGGTTCTTGCGCTGCGACTGCTATTAGTTGGGATACCTTAATTTACTAGCACCCACCCAAGTTATCGTGCGGTGTATACACAGCACTTCAAAAATAAATGGTCTATTTGGGGCTTCTTTCTGACCCACAACGAAAATTGACATCTATCTTGCATGTCTTTCTTTGTATTATCACCGTTCTCATCGCGGGTACCATGAGTTCACGAACAGCGTGCGTACCATCATGATGAGCGCCCAGCTTTCAGAGAAACTTTTTTGTGTGTGTCTAATCTGCAGGGGAAGAGCGCATTGCTATAAAGGCATTTTATCTTGGTCACGTATCAAAAATGCACCGTGTTGTTCGGGCTACCCCTGCACACTCAGTAACAACTAATTCACCTAGTTCACTGTATCTGCCAACGGACGTGCAACAACGGCTAATGCATTTTTTTCTTTTTTTTCATAGTTGTCCAAGCTTTTGGCAACCACACACTTCCGTCGGCGCTGCGTAGATTTAAAAATATATAACAACACATTACCAATACCAGTTTCACCAAAGTGGTCGAGGGTCGAATGTTTGTTTTCCAATCCAATTACCAATACCACATGTGCACACAGCTTCAACTACTTCGTCCCCAACAATATCGAATAATAGTAGCAGCATAAAATATTTCTTCGCAATTTTTTAACAGTGCTCTAAAGACGGGCGTTGAAAATTTATACTTTTAAGATGGGGACGTGCATCTCCCAGTAACTCGATAGATTAGAGAAACGGTGACGCTGGAATTAACACACGTAATTTTGAATGTATTGTGCGCGTGCTAAATTTTATGAAAAAAAAAATTGTTTACATACTTTTTTCGGCGCACTGCTTTAATCCATTTCTGTCGTCTGCTTGTTTCGTATTATCGGTTTGGGAATCGGTAGAATTTCACTGGTGGAGTCGACCTCTTCGTGTTTGCATGGTTATTGTGACAGTTGACGACGCAGCGATGTCACCCCCTTTTCTGTTGGGGTGACATCGTTTCACGTGCAGCGCGTGCTTCGCAAATGCGTGGAAGCCAAAGGGAGCGGAAGGGTCGGAAGGCTCTACTGTTGTGCGCTTTTTCTGGCAGGGGAAAGGCAAGCGCTGGCGTCGCCGGGCAAACTTGAGCAACAGCCCAGAAACACAAATGTTCGCTATGCGAGCCACGCGCAGCCATGAAAAAGCACCGCGAGAGTCGCGCCACTGTAGTCGCGCGTATCCACGCGCACCGCGAAGGGACCAGTCATCGCGCAGATACAGCGGCGGAGAACGGGAGGATTCGAAGGGGGCAAGGAAGGAGAGAGGAGGTTGCGCGCGTGGCGGCTAGTTGGTACTGGGCGGTGCATACGGGACGTCTGCGGGTACGTTGCCAAGATAGAGGGAAACAACGGAAGCCAACGTTACAGAAGAGAAGCGAAGTAGCCGGGAGCTTCAGTAGCGTCGAGGCATCTGTGAATATTAGTATAAATGTTCACTGATATTAGTCGCTGCTGGAGCACCGAAATTTTCGTATAATTTTCGTGTCGATTGGCTGGTCCGTGGGCCCTTGGCGTCACCTCAAAATGTCAACGGTAGCTCTGGCGGCGTAAAGGACAGAGGACTGCGCCAATCAAGAGACCGATTCCACCCGTTTCAGTGTTATTTCCGTGCTCGTGTTAAACCGACATTGCACTTCGGTGAGTATGTAATTAAGTGCTAGCGGCGCTGGTGAGTGACCTATGTGTGATGAGCAAGGTTCCTTTTGGCGTTGCATAAGTGGTTGCCAGACTGGGAGAGTTAGTGTTGCCAGATTGCTGCTAAATTTGCCTGCAAAATTTTTTTTGTAGTTGTGGCTTTTCCGTGAGAATTTGGTGCCATCCGCGGTGCATTTCGCGAACGAGCGACGCTGGCCGTTTTAATTAACGGAATGATCCGCGCCTAGCAGTAGTCGAGCGCGGTGCTGCTGTGCAATTAAGAGGCCAATTTAATTAGCGGAATGAACCGCGCCTAGCAGAAGTCTGGGCGCGTGCTCTTGCTGTGTGCGCAGCTGTGCAATTACGCGCTCAGAGATCGCGATTGTCGTGTACGCTGCGCAACGCCCGCGTATTCTAATCGATGTGCCTATCCTGTGGTCTAGACCACAGGATACACGCTAGCTGTATTCTGTAGACCATATCACAAAATAACCTGCAACTTTATTTTGTGTAACCCACGATAAACGTGTCCGCTGTGGGCCGTTGGCCGGGCAGAATGCGCTGTAGCCCTAGCAGCCCGCCTCGCTTGACGACTATTTCTGTGCAGTAGACCACAGAATATAATCCCAATTTGTTCTGTGGACCAGGCTACGAAATTATCGCACGGATCCATTGAGTGCTGGACATTTAAGTGACTTTCACCACAATGCATTTTGTTCGCCTCGGTTGGTCAGTGACTAGGGTGCACGGCTCGGAAGGTCGGGGGTTCGATACCGGCCGCGACAGTCGCATTTCTATGGAAGTGAAGTGGTAGAGGCCCGAGTACTGTGTGATTTTAGTGCACGTTAAAGAGCACGAGATGGTCAAAATTTCTGCAGCCTTCCGCCACAGCATCTCTCATGGTCATATCCTGAGTTTCGGACGTAAAACCTCAAATATTATTATATTATATTGTATACATTCAATTTCAGCCACGCCAAGATGTGCACTGAGATTTGCACAGGAGATTCAAAGTTCGAGTAATTCTCCCAATTGTACAGACACAGCCCTAAACTCTCCCAAAACGGCTCCAACACCATCGTTAGAAGGGAATAATAACAAAGAACAGCATTCCTAAATTTTTCTAACCATCAATCTATCACGTGTGGAACACGTCATGTTCATCGCTGCACGGCCTACTGTACTCCCGACCTGCCCATATAGCGTGGTTCTTATGGGAGCGCATGTCCCTGCTCTCGTTCAACCACTTGCCATTGGCGACTACCTATAACGTGTTCATCTGCTACTCTGCAGCTGTTTGAATGGCACTGGAGTAAGAACGCCTGCATTTTGTGACAAACTGCCAGCATATATATGACTGTTTCTGCAAACTTCGACGCCTGGTCACGCAAGTTATTAAGTGCAAATATATTGCACGCTGGATGACTAACATGGGCAGCCGTAGACTTTCATAGTGTAGGACCGCCTATGTGGCGTCACGTCCATTCAATTGCAACAAATTTCAGGGTCACTTCTACTGTAATAATTTCCAAATTATTTTGTATTTATGCATAATAATTACACAAAGTGATGACTTTGTTGACTGAAATATAAACACAAACGCTGAAGTTGACGTCAGCGAACAAGTGCTGACTAGCGTCGTACCACCCTACTGGTAGAAGGTATGAACTAGACATGGGCGGTGGAAGTGGGGACATCTGGGCAGATCAGGAGTACAGTAGGTCATGCACCGCTGTACATAAGTATGTTGCAAAAAAGCGGACCAGGATTGTCAAGATGTAACTGCAGCTGCCACTGGGTATAGCACGTTTGCGGACATTTCAGTAAAGTTTTCAGACGTTGGGGTTAATGCTGGCGGGTGCATGCGTGCGTAATAAAGGGACAATTGTGCTGTGTCCTTTATCAAGCAGAAGACCTGGCCAAATTTGTTGTGCTGTTTTGTGTGACACAAATGTACTGGCTCAAAAGTGACTTAAACACTTGGCATTCGATGAATCAGCATCAGAAAATTTTGTTTTTTTTTTTTGTGTGTGTGGCGTGAGGACTATTTTTTAAGTGACTTACGTCTACACCCATATGGGAGGATTGCACAAAATTTGCAAGTTTCAGAGGCAAATCAAGTGAGATCCATCTACACATGACAGGTGAATTTAAAGTAAAATGAGGTTCAGAGTTTTTCACCCATCAAGCAAGGTATCAAGTAATCAGGGTAACTTTCTGTAACATTAAACACACCTTTCTGTCACTGTTTCAGTTCGTAACCCCAATGTTCATAACCACACAGATAAAAGCATTCTTAAAGTAGGCTTTGCACTTCAAACTTTTTTTGCATACAGCTGTACACCATGTCTTTTTTATGTTGCATCGCTAGATGCAGGTGCCCTTTGTTAGAATATAACTCCTTGGTACGGTCATTTTCATATTGCCACAAATAAAATCTTGTCATTTGTGATAAAAGCTGTTGTCAAGAGAGATGGTTATATACAGCATAGTCTGGTCACACAGAAGTGGATTTTGGTGTGGTCCACGAAATGAAGCTCCGGTTTATTTTGTGGCCTGGTCCACAAAATAGGCACTGCGTATTCTAATCTATTCCTGTAGACAACATAGCTGCGTCTGTTCTGGTATGTGTGTAATGAATTGGCGTGTCAAGTGTGACACATTACAGCTATGTATTGCATTCTACTGCCCTCTATCTGCAACTGTCTTTTGTCAATGCAGCGCACAAGTGGCACACTTAGCACATCAAAGCTATGTGTCGCTTTCGTCTGTGCTTCAAGTAAATGGAACCCCACACAAACGGCACGCTCGAGTGTTTTTTTTTTTTTTCATAAAAGATCGCCATGTAAGACATTGCATTTTGTTGAGGCCTATGCTCAATGTTATCGAACCAAGTGCAAACAATATAATTATAAATCATGCCTTCGCAGATTTTCATTCACCAAGTGTACGTGAGGTGCTGGCACCAGTCCAGAAATGGCTTCCTCCAACCACATCGTGGACGATTTTGAGAACTCTTTTCAGGTACAGTCCTACTCCATGTTTGAAACTTGTGCAGCAGGTTCAAGTTTGCTGGGGGAAGGAAAAGCGAAAATGGCAGCAGTTTATATTCAAAATGCAGTCAAATAATTTAGTTAGTGGAAATTCACCAGCAGGTAGTAAATTAGCTGCTCAAGTGTAGTAGATTTCAATCCGAGAAAATATCAGCTCCACCTGCAGCCAAACTCCTATCTCACACCATAAGAGGTGCATATTTGCATTTTTGTGTTGTGAAGCACTTCAGCATATTTAAAGTAGTTAAATTTTATTATAAAAAGGAAAGTTTGTATCATTGGCGTTAAATGGAAAGCTTGAATGTCCGAACGAATTTATCAGAAGCTTGGACATTCAGCCAAAAATATTTTAGTCGGAAAAAATGAACATTATTTTTCAGCATGTCTGGTACTTACATTAGATAAGCAAAAAAGAACTTGTGCTTTAACCAATACCAGCTGGTTGCGGTCATCATTATCCGAAATGCTATTATAAAAGTAAAGTACACAGGCGCACCATTTTTGTGGGTTCATCTTATATTTATCCGTAGGCTGTAACAGGGTATACCTTAGTTTATTTTCATGATGTGAGGCACTTTCGTGTGCTTAAAAGGACGCTGAAACGGTTTTGAAAATTTTGTACATTGGGCCAGTAAAGCAAATCCAAAGGATCACTTTCAGGCCAATTTAAGCTCTGCATCAAGTGTAATTTATTATAAGACTTTAAACATGCAAATTGCTGCATATTGCAGCGGGTGCCTAAATGAGCTTTCAACTTCCCACTTCCGTTCTATTAATTTGGACTCACAGACAAGAAAGCCAAAGAATGTTTTCTTGTCTGTTAGTTCTAATTAATGTTTTGTTTAACAAAGAAAAACAATCCCTTGAAATTCCCCATCTTACACTATATATAATACTGGTGATCAATCCGATTGTCAGTAAACTGATTGTCTATGTCACTGAACCTCTGGTGGACAGCGAGCATTGTCAGCCTGTGTTACAATATGCATAGTGCCAATGTGAGCTGTACGACATTTACTTCAGGGTTTCTTTCCTCGAACATCATGAATTTTTCCTTGTTGCGTTGTGTGCTGCTAATCTAGTGTCTAGTGACTTGTAAAGCTGTGACATCTTGTGAGGCACCTTAAGGAAGTGGTGGATGGAGCCAGTTCATCTAGTCGATGTAGTAAGCGTCAGGCTCTCGCTATGCGATAGGCGCCAAAATCCACACACTTGTAACTGTATCTTTACTCCTAAAACACACAACCACATTGAGTTGAAAATAAAGAAGTGGGGCACGGGCTTGGGGCGACGCCCCAAGTCTTAAAAATGTGTCTACTGATGTTCAGCTTGATGCTCGAGCACAGAAACGCAGCCAGTCCCCGTTGAACCATGTTGTTTCTGCTTTCATTCCATCTAAACCAAAAAAGACTCCGCCCAGTAAAGTACTTAAAGAAAGTATTTTGGAGAAAGTTGTCTCCGCAACAGTTCTTACACCAAAATAGCGTCCCTGAAAGTTCTGAAATGGAATTGTCGCGCTCTATTTTCTGCTATTACTTACTTACATTGTCTGTGTGATAAACTAAATCTCCATTTAATCTTACTTCAAGAATCTTGGATTGCTCCAGATACCAATCTTTATTATAAAAATTACCGTTTGTTCAAACTAGACCGCTCTATGAGAGGTAAAATAGTCACAGTAAAGTAGTCACAATGATTTCGAACAAACTTTGCTATAAAACCAAACAGACATTAGAGCTCCTCTCCCTGGCATACGAAATATTAGTTGTAGGCTTAACTCTCTCTATTGGGCAGGTTTTGCCAGTAGTAAATGCTTACTTTCCTTCAGGTGTACATGACACTCGTCCATTAGATACTCCAATATCCACGTGTGGAGGAAATGTTTTATTAGCAGGTTACTTCAACACCTGTCATATTACATGGGGAGAGAAAACTGATATGTGGAGCCGCTGATTGTGGCATTGGGCCCAAAATAATCATTTTTCATGTCTGAATTCGGGAAGCCCAACATACATGTGCCGTCATACTTCTTCAGCGCTGGATTTAACTTTTGCAAGCTCCAACTTTAATGTTTCATTTTGGTCAGTCGTTGGTTTTGCAACAAATAGCGAACACTTACCGATAACTTTCGAAATGAAAATCAGATAGCCTCATCAATCTCTATCACTCATACGCATACAAATTACTCGAAATTTAAGGATTCCTTCCTTTCTTCGCTGGCTTTTCTATCGGATAAAAGCACGAAGTCGAATGCTCTGAAGTTTCAGCTCTTCTTGGTGAAGTGACGGTGCTAAGCTTGATCGAGTTATATATAGGTTCTTTCATGCTACTAGACGAATACTCACATCAAGTTTTCATTATGAAGGAGGAACGGTATGGGTTAAAATACCCGCTGTTGTTTGAGCTAATCTAGGTACTTCTATCACTGCCACATGGAAACGGGGATGTTGAGCATGAATTTAGCAAAGACTCAAGAGTCCTGCACGACAGGTCAAATTTTTCTTTGTCAAGTGTAAATGGCATATGTCACATAATGTCATATTCATAGAGGTTTGACAGTGACTTGTGTTCATTTACAGTAAATTAAGATGTTATCAAGGCTGCCAAGGGGGCGCCAAGATGGTATGCAGATCGTCGCCTTCATGCTAAGAGCGACCATCAAAGCGTATGCATATAGGTGCTGAGCAAAGCTCACCAATTGTGGGAGTTGCCAATAATCAAGCTGAAAAAGAACTGGCGGAAGCAGAAGGGATGATTAAATATGCTGCATTGTTGATACAGTGGGGCTTGAGGTCTAACTTCTCTGACATTGAGAGCGAGCAAGCAGTGCTTGCTCAAGCACGACGAGAGATAGCTGAGTCCTACTTACGTCCTGAGAAAACATGGAGGAAAGCTTAGTGCTGTTTCATGCGAGTGACATGCGTTTGTTATGTATATCAGTGTATCCATTCCTTCATGCATCTGTGATCCTTGATTAAAGCTTGCATTAGTTGTGTCTTCAGTGAACTGATACACACACTGAATGTAATACTTTATACTATAGGATAAAAAGAGCATTAAAATGCTATCTGATGTCTTTTTCATTTTTGCAACTTGCTATGAAACTAAGGGGAGCTGCTACAAATCATCATTTTTCTTGCTACCAAACCTGATACAAAGCACTTATGGCGATTCCTCTTACTCAGGTTACAATTGTAATCTTCGAGTGGTCATCGCAGTGAACAGGAAAGTGCTATGTATAGTTGAAGTAGTTGCTGAGCGCAATTTTTCCAAACTATTTCAGGTCACCCATACTCTGAAACTTCGTTAGTTTTCTATTACTACTAGGCCATATTGTGAGATTACATTATTGAGTTCTATCTATAAAATAGTTGATAACTTTGTGGATACAGTCAAAGCAAAGTAATAATGACTTAGTAGTTCTTGGACGACGGTCTTACTTGATTGACTGTATTAGCTACAGTAATTCAGTACGTGTGTGTAGGACGAATCCTTTAATGTTTTTATTTTAACTTGAAGTGCTATTTGTTCTTGTTTACTTCTAAAATATTGCATGCTGGTTGTACGTATACCATGTGCTATACAGCGAGTGTTGCTTTGCTGAGAAAGCATGGTGTCCCAGTGTTCTGGTATATTTTGGGAAGTGTACATGTAGCTGAATGCTTGCTTGGGATTTTTATGGTAAGCAGAGCAAATACCTGTGTTATGGTATATTTTGCATACAGATATACAAAAAGACCACATAGCTTACATTCAGCACCCAAACAAGTTTGACTATGTTGTGCATGCATATCAAGCAAACAAAGAAAAATACAAGATGCCTTTACATCGCATTGTATAAGCCATAAGTGTAGCTGTCTTGGGGTGCGAAATTCTCCAATCAAGTTGCATTGCAAGAAACCGCAAAAATTTTACGCTGTTGGTGTGTTTCTGAATAAAACTTGCAGAAAAACAGCTTTAGTGATGAAGTTCTGCTTCTTTGTTTTTACATGACACATCGATGATTACAAGGAAGGCCAGCGCATTGGCTGCTTGATACCATGTGTAGACCAGTCAGGGCTTGTCCAAACAGGCGATTTACTGAGGTCATGCAGAAGAGGGATTGCGACTGGCAAGCAAGCTGGGACTCGAGGCACTTGGAACTAGCACCGGTTGTGCTAAACTTTTTCCACTCAATGTGTTTGATGGTCACACCAACCAGTGCAACTCTATGCAGTTTTATGCCTCATTTAATGCTAAACTAGCTCCAATCAACCTCAATTGCATTCCAGGACATTGTGAAGTTATGATCAGCTATTTGACTAGAGAAATTTGAAATCCTCGCGCAATGCTTCTAAAGATTTTTGTTGGAAAGCAAGGTGTAAAAACTCGAACACAACGGGAAAATATGTTCATTTGCTTTGAGTTATCTGAGTGCTCACAGCAATATGTTTAAAACTATCAATATCTCTGATGTCTGATTGATATGTTGAATCAACTAGAGCTTTGAATGTAATAAGTTTCATCTGCCATAGTGATGTGTGCATGATGGCCGATGGTGATGACATGCTTGACAACCTGTAAAGCATACATTTGTTTTTACAGAAATGCCTCTTGTAGTGTAAAGCTCAGCATTCTCGTTTATGACTATTACGCCAAGCTCATCCACAATCCGGTGCATTTTCACTTGGCTGTCAGTATGCGCTACCAGTGCAATCAGACAGCTGCCAAAGTCTGCACGCATTGTCTTCCTGCACCATAATGCTGCACCCATGTTTGGAAGGTGCTAGGGTGTGACACTACAGCGCCACATTTGAGAATTGAGTGTCTAGGTCCAGTGCATCATGGAAAGTGCATAGTGTGCAGGGAACTTTGGCTGAATCGTATATACTTGTTAGTTGTTATCTATATCTTCACCACTTTATTTTTCTGTATATTTTGGTGTTTTCAACTGCAAATTTTACTGGGAAAATGGGAGTTGTCTGTTTTGTCCCTGCTATAGCTGTCCCACTGTACACCCTTTAAGATGCCTCACCGAGCAGCCACTTTGCTAATCCATTTTTTTATCAGGCATGTCTGGCTGCAGTCACAAATCCAGATTACTTCTATGTTCGTGACTCAGAAGAAGTAAAAACAGGTATGATGGTTTATTAATATTCTTCATTAGTAGTACTTTAAATGCATGTTTGCAGCTTGTAATTGCTATCTCATGTACCGACACCAAGCAGTGCACAGACCTTCTTCAATAAAGAAGGGTCTCTTTGTACGTGTGTTTATGCATCTTCTTACAATGTGACATAATAATTGTTAGGGTTTTACATTTAAAAAAACAACAATATGATAATGAGAGACACCGTAGTGGACGACTCTGGAAATTTCGACTTCTTGAAGTTCTATAATATGCACTTAAATCTGAATATGGGGGCCTCTAGCTCATTGCCTCCATCAAAATGTGGCTGCCATGGCCGGATTTTGATCCCACCACATTTGGCTTGTGATGTTATAGGATCTGATATCTGAACTTGAGCAGTATTCACCTACAGTAAAAACTGGAATATAGGTCAAAATTTTGTTCTGGAAGTCAACTACCACGATCGAAATTCATCCGTTGTTTTATACACCGGTTATCAGCAGAAAGAATACTGAAGTCTGGCCGCACTGGATGATAAAAGTCGACCGGGGTGCAAATCAAGACGTCCTCAAATTTCGTCATGTTGTCATATTTGCCATCTGGTCCACTTTTATTGGCCCCAGAGGACTGCTGCAGCATCTTTGGTGAAAAGTGCCTTCATTAGGCAATTTCACAATATGGCAGTGTTTTCAGGGTCTAGGAATGCACCTCAGTGTGCTGTAATAGACACTGTCAATTCATTGACCATGGCACATGGCTTTAGTTTTTCATTGAATGTAGTGTGTGCTATGCTGCCACTGTAAAAGAGGAAGCAGAATAGAAGGACAATCAAAAAAAAAAAAAGGAGGCTGTTCTCATCATATCAGGATGACATGCTTTCTCTCTCCTAGCACTTGGAGAGCACAGTGGAGTGGCATTGCTTGCGGACTTTTACTGAACGAAGGAGGGAGAGTGTAGGCTCTGACAGTGTAGCTTGCCTCCTGGAGGCATGGCAATCAAGCAGTGTGATTTCTTCTAACGTATTCAACAATGAACCAGCACAAAAAATTTTTTTAGTAAGACACTCCTCAGAAGACACATTACAACTACTAACAATTCATCAAAACATGCATAAAGACCTGGTGAGAGGCCCTTTAAATATTTTTACATTAAAGTGAAATAACAGATTATTAAGCTATCCTTTGGAAATGCTCCTGTTATTAAGTTCACCATCCTAAGTTTATTATTAATGGAGAAAACCAAGGTTAAGGTTTAATTTTTATATCTTAGATTGAAACGTCCACATATGAATGTCAGAATGACTCCATGGATTTCAACCTGTTATTTGCATTTTAGCTACAATTAGTCAGTGAAATTTCCTGAAAGTCGCTATTCCCTGGTCCCCTTAGAAGACTATGAGCTTAATTTTTTTTACAAATAAAAAATTTTGTTATCTCTAGCATACAGCATCAAAATCTATGACGTGGGTTGATCTGGGAACTGCAAGTTGGTGCCACCACCTGTGTTTTTTTTATGCATTTGCCCACTTATCAAGTGCCTTCTCGTGGCCATGTTAATGCTTTCGGTAGTTTTTGTGAAAAGGTAGTTTTATTATAATAAAGAAAGTCAGTACTTCTCTTCAATGTCATGTGCCATTTGCTCTCTGCCTGTGAAATGCTAGGCTAGTCAGTACATATCTTAAATAAGGGGTTATCACTGCTCACACATCTTTATATTTCTTTGTACCACGGGAGTGCTACTAATCCCTCATTTTGATGTATCTACCTAATGCCAGCCACAGGTGTTCTTGGTGAGGACTGTAAATTGATTGATGTGTAGAGTTTAACGTCCCAAAACCACCATTTGATTATGAGAGACGCCGTAGTGGAGGGCTCCGGAAATTTCGACCACCTGGGGTTCTTTAACGTGCACCCAAATCTGAGCACACGGGCCTACAACATTTCCGCCTCCATCGGAAATGCAGCCGCCGCAGCCGGGATTCGAACCCGCGACCTGCGGGTCAGCAGCCGAGTACCTTAGCCACTAGACCACCGCGGCGGGGCGAGGACTGTAAAGATGCTTATGTACACTCTACAGCAAAACTTTGCTGGATGAGGGTTTGACTGAAGATACATGACGCTCTTAATCTGGTGTTTGACTGTATAATCTTTCGCAGGTGAGAAAAAAATGCTATCATGCTGGGCTGCAGACGGAGCACAAAGGCTGATATCACGCCTATTTAATGCAGCCTAGGGAGCATTACGGCGGCACCTAGGTAGCCGTCTATGAAAAGGTCTATAGGCTTCAAAAACAGGGCTTGAAGTCTGTGTTCCCAGACAAAGTGGGAATATAGCTTTTTTTATTAATGTTGAACATTACTCTAGTGCTCTCGTTGCTCGTGCTGCTAGTTTGGGACACGAAGACCTCCAAAATATTTTTGGCTGTGACTTTAGTCCAGTTCAAACGCTTAGCGTACAGAGCATTCAGCCAGCAGGCAGGCAGGAAACAAGTACAAAATAAATTACTTTGATATCGGGCTTTTATCATACAAAAGGTGTTCAACCCTTTTCATTCTCCCTATGGGCTCAGTAGCATGAATTGCCATGCTTGCTGTTGGTCACGTTGCTGCTGATCCTACATGGTCACGTTGCCATCTGCAGTGGTGTACTGAAGAAGTTGGCATGCTGTCGTGTGGTTAGCGTGGGTATTAGCAAGTTTTAGTACTGCATACGTAGCATTTGTAACAGCGTTGCCTACGTAAGCAACCAGAGTTTCGCACAGAGCGCACAAGTTATGCTCATGCACAGTACATGAAACGCAGCCTCCTTATGTATGAAACGCCATTATGGATGGTATATAAGTAGTAGCAAGATAGCAACTTGCTCTCACACACAATTACATGGCATTACATTGTACAATAGTTGCATCAGTTCAGCATGTTGATATGCATTGGTGTCACTAAAAGTTCAAAATGGCACAAGAAAAAGGAGGGGGGGGGGGGGGACACTAAAAAATTGATGTTAGCTGAAAGGCAAAGAAGCAGACAAGGGAAATATCAGCAGTATATACATGCTCTTAAATGTTAAAAAATGTGAGTGCTTTAACTGGTGTAAATACTTTACTTTTCCCTTCAAAGTGAGCTTTTAGCTGCTCCTGTAGGTGATCTAATTTCCTCACACAAATAATATCGCTGGACTAAAATTTGCATAGATTGGAAACAAATATCTTCTTCCGAATTTGTACAGCATAATGCTTAACTCTATAATTCGTTTTTAGGATTCACTGAGTTATAAAACTGTTACTGATTTGGTTCATTGCTTTTAGGAGTAGAGCAGACCATACAGCGGTTCCTGGATGCTGCTAAACAGATGGAAAGTTTCTTCCTTCAGAAGAGGCTTGTACTGTCGGCTCAGAAGTCAGAGCAGATGGTCATGGAGGTGAGCCCCCTTTTGAGAAAATCAATTGGATTTTGCAGTGATCTTTCAGAGTATTTTATTTCTTTAGTTATAAGTTTCACCTTCACAGGTACCAAGTGTTGTACGCAGTGCTGTGCTTTACGTGAATTGCTGAAACAGTGTATATTTTTAACAAAGAGTTGATGAGAAAAACATTGAGTAAGCCTTGCTCAGAGGAGGATTGAGAATTTGTAGCTTGAAGCCATAAGTGTGGCGGTTTGGGCTAGCTGGTATGATATATGACAATTGTTATAGCGCAAGATCACAACGACGACAAAGGGACAAGAAGAAGATGAAAGGCGAAGTAGCGCTCATCTTTTTCTTGTCCCTTTGTCGTCATTCTGATCTTGTGCTCTAACAACCGTCATCGAAATCATAATGTTACATACCAAAAATGCTGTAAAAAAAATATCGTTTAACGTCTATTCACACTGCTGGTGCGGCGCTTCGTTCAGCATCTGAATAGTGCATAGTATGTGGATTGCTTAAACTTTGACATTTTGGCTTTGAACATTCTTCTGAATTTTTGAGTGAGCATGTCATTTGGACCTCAAATTTTGCTCTATGGCATTATTACTAGTTACCTCTGATTTCTGTCATCATTTAATTTTCAGAACATTGCAAATAAAATTTGTGCATAATACCTGAAATAGTAGTCTAGTGTGGCCTTGACTGCCCAAATGCTATTCAGCAGTGTATAGCAGCTCTGAATCGTAGAGAATTATGTACTGGCGATGACCTTATAGAATGAAGTTGCAAACACAAAACACTTCTTTTAAAGTAAATAAAATGTACTAATCGTATGTGACAAGTGTGAGCATTAATAACTAAGGACAATATAAGAAAGCACAGTTTTATTTTTAATAAAGCCATGTGATATTACAGAAATTCACGAATCATTCATTATTTACATTGTTGTTGAATGAATTTGATTTCAGGTTTCTTTGTTGGTAATATTAGCAAAAAGCTCTAGACTTAAAGGTAATACAGTAGGCTGCTTTATAACCTGTAATTGAATCTTGCACCTTGAGGACAAGTGAAACCTTGAGAAACCGTGTGTGTTTCATCATCGTGGTGACGTGCTAAAGTTCTACCGTTGCACAAATCTGGTGACAAACAGATGTTAACGAACTACTGGTCGATTTCCGTGTCTTCTCACTCATGTAAACTTCTTGAACACATAATTTACAAACATATTATGGATTATTTGGAAACCAATAGTATACCAAGTGACTGCCAGCACCGTTTTCGTCGTGGTGTGCGCACCTTCTGTGCGCATGATGTGCTGATGCGTCCGCGTTGTGTGATCCTCCAGCTTCGTGTTGCTCCGATACCAAATAGGGCCAAGAAGGAATTGGGCTTGCGAAGTATACATTGAGTGTGTAGCGAAGGTTTCAAGCTCACCTCCCGCATTCCTCGCATTATGCTTTCACGGCTTGTAATGAACCAATTAAAAAATTCTAGTGATACAAAGCTTTTCATTGGGCACCTAACAACTTCCACTGTCTAAGTAAAAATTCTCATGTGACCTAGTGAAGCGCCATTTAAGAACTAAATGACAAATAAAACAAAAACCACATGAATATCGTTTTTTCAATGTAAACTTTACTTTTCCCTGATGACACTTTACGGTTTCGCATTCGTTTTTCATCGTCCTGCCGCAGCACAGAAGCACCTCCTGCTCCCTACGCAAACGAGGAGATGGCGAAGAGATGCCTAGCAGATGACGCGACGCGGATTAATACGTGTGTTTAGGCTTATCGACCTTCCTATTGGCAAAAAGGTCTTGTGTGCTTGACAGTGTTGAAAGTAACTTATGAGATGGAGTATAGGCTGCACCCCACTGTGTTCCAAAAGCCCAATTTTACCGGGTAATGTGAATACCAGACTCCAGGCGTACTTGAAAGGAAAATTTGAAGTTAAATAGTGTTTAGATAGGCACAGATTTTGAATAAAGGCATTTAAAGACACCATAAAACACTATAAAAGCTCTTCTTACCCTCTAATTCGTGCTCATATGTCAGAATTGCACGATAGAAACACAAGAAACAAAATAGGCATTTGCCTATAATCCGGTTTCTAGTAATTTGCGTCGTCAACACTTTCTAAAAAGCCAGGAGAAACAGTCGTGTACAATGCATGCGGCATGAACGCTGCCAGCCATGCTCTAGTAAAGAAAAACAGCGGCCGTAAATATCCTTTGCTCTTTTTTTTTTTTTTTTTTCAAAACGTGAATGGTGCTAGCACCCGAGGAAAATGCCATGAGATAGCTGTCGTAAGAACTTGTGCCACTAGCTAACAGATAGGATGGCACTATGAATATTTTTAGTCAAGAACATGCACAATTTATTTCATCTTTGTTTTAAATTGTGCATTTCAAACAGAGCCAAACAGTAGATTGCACTTGACTCTCCGTGATGGTGGGTGCTCTGGAAGAGCACACCACGAAGGGTTGATCACATATGTAACAGTGATGAAATGCCTTTTTTTGGCTGACTGTACTTTGGTTATACTTAATGTATTGGTTAACAATTAAAAGTAAGGGTTTATGGATGCTTCCCTTTATTCAATGCAGCAGCTTTTATGCTTGAGTAATAAGTTTTCCTTAAAAGAAGTTTACATTTGCACTTTAGGAATCCTGAAATATTCATGTGTGTTGAATAGTTAGTTTTAGCCCTGAAGTAATAGTATATTAAAAACGATCTTTCCCCTGAAACTGCCATAAAAAACGAAATCAGTGTCGTGGCTACTGTCGTATACAAAAATATAAAAGCCATACCAAACTTATTATCTAGACTAAATGATTCATAAGATGGGGCTCGCCACTTGAATATTGTATTTTGTCGGTATTGCTCACTGCGAGTGCGAAACATGACAGCAATCAGAAGGTAAAGTCATTGAGATTTGCACTACCAAGCTGAACATCAGAATGGGTCCCATAGATACTGAGCGGGCTCACAAAATTGACAGGTACGATATTTCTAGAAACAGACCAAATATTGTTATGCTGTCTCATTTTAAGATGAAACAGCAGATTCTTTCAAATACTGAGCAATTCAAAGGTTCCACCTAACACCCAGTTAGTGCATAAACAGTTGATTACATTTGGAAAGTCCCAGCAAAAGCCGTTTCAACTATGCTACAACAAGCTCAACCTAGACAACAAGACTTACAAGTACGATAATGAAAGACATAGCATTGTATCAACTTCATAGCTGCCTGCTACCGCATCTGTGAAACCCACCTTATGCTCTTTATTCTTTCTCTACACTAACATAAAAAGCACATCGAAGTGCAACGAGCTTTGTAATCTGCTCACTAGAACTGACTGCAAATTTGTACTAACTGAAATGTGGCTCAATTCAATCGTCCAAGACACAGAGCTCGGTTCGATCTTTCCAGTTTGCAACGTCTTAACACATGACTGTGAGGTTAAACAAGGTGGTGGCATTCTGATAGCTTTTTATCAAAACCTGTAATGCAAGATCATTAACATCACTTCACCCCTCAAGATGTTGTAAGATGTTGTTTGTGTTATGCACAGATATGTTCCCTCAAACCCTTATCTGTGTATGCTATCAGCCATCTGATGCAAATGCTTTTTTCTCGGTTCATTTCCACAAAGATTTGCAAACAATCGCTTCATTTTGTCATGCACCGTTGCTTCTCTGGTGACTTCAACTTCTTCTATATAACTTGGCTTGAACCTACCCTGACGCTAGCCAAGAGGAAGCCTGAAAGTACATTTATCAACTTGTGCCTCACTTTCGGACTAACTCGACTTGTATAAAATCCAACACGTGTAAATGGGAAATGTTCAAACATACTTGACCTCATTTTATTCTCTCATCGTGACAGTGTATCTCCTGTAACACATTTTTCAGGACTAAGCGATCATTCTGTATTACTTGCTGAACTCGCAAAAAAAAAGTTAAAACGAAAATGCTTTATGATAAAGGCGATTATGACGATTATGATAACAGATAGCATCAATGCCATGCTGACTGATTTCTGAAGCCATTATATGACTGAATTTCCAAAGGATTAAATTGGACGCCTTTTAAGAACTAATAAAACTCGCAGATATGTTCATCCCAACCATTACCACTATAACAAAACGCCCCATCCCCATGGTTCGACAGCACACTAAAATGTCTAAACAACAAAAAAAAAGGTTATTTCACTCAGCCAAATACTGAATTTGTGCATTCGCTTGGAAGATACTCGGCACAATGGAGAAGGAGTTTATAGTCCCCAAGTGCTGATCGCTTATTTTATCCAGAAACACTGCCTATCATGCTACAAAATAACCTCAAACAGTTTCGGAAATATATTATCCCAAAGCCACAGATAACATTATCATTAGTGAATGACCTCATTATGGTGTTCCTATACCAGATCACAACGTAACCCATGTACTCAACACTGTTTTTGTCTAGCGTACTCACTTCTCAGCCCTGCACTCAGCTTCTTGAAGGTCCTTAGCTAGACCACCCACCAGTGTCTGTATGTTTGAAGCAAAACGTTATTGTTAAACTAATTGAGGTGCTTAAGTTAACGTCCTCAGCTGGCATCGACGTAATCAACTCTAAACTGCTAAAAGATACTAAACACACCACCAGTATGTTCTGCATCTTTCAGCAATCTCTGTCATCTGGAGTAGTGCCTCAAGATTGGAACGTCGGCAAGATAATTTTAGCACTGAAAAAAAGGCTCATCATATTCATGTAGAAACTATCGTCCCATTTCCCTCACCAGTGTCTGTTCCAAATTTATAGAGCATGTCATCTATTCTGATGTGGTAAATTTCCCAGCATCTTGTCATTTCTTCAATCCTAACCAGCATGGTTTCCAAAGGTCATGTCTTGCGAAACGAAACTCTCTTTTCACCCATTACATATCCTTTCACCTTGATTGAAATATACCCGTTTATCTCCTCTTCCTACACTTCCAAATGGCATTTAGCAAGGTTACTCTTAAGCGGCTCTGTCTAAAGTTCGGACAATTAAATTTTAACACTCCTGTTTACAATTGGCTCTGTGATTTAACTGCCAGCAATTGGTTTACGCTAACCAAAATGATCACCTGTTGTCTCGGGCCTGCCACAGGGCATGGTCCTGGAACTGTTGCTTTATTTAATACACAATAATGACTTACCTAACGGTTGTACATCTAAAATTTGTTTGTTTGCTGGTTACTGTGTAGCTTATTGCTCTATACTTAATGCTGGCATCCTCACCCTGCAGTTACCTCTCATAGAATCCTGGTGCTACAAATGGCTAATGTCTCTAAACATTAGCAAAACATCTCTCCAATTTTTTGTCATCAATCATCCATTTCCACTTTTCGTTGCGAATCATTCATTTCCACCAAATTGTACACAGTAGATCGCTTGGAAATAAGTGCAGTTTCATAATACAAATACCTTGGTGTTAACTTTGCAATAACCTCATTTGGTCCGTTCACATTCCGAACGTCACAAACTCAGCTAATCACGCGCTTGGCTATCTGGATCGTAACCTGCGCCTTCTTCCTTCCCCGGTAAGACTACTAGCATACTCAACATTTGTTTGACGAAAACTTGAGTACACTTTCTCAGCGTGAGACCCGCATCAAACCAACATCTCATCCACGCTAGAATTCATACAAAATCGTGCAGCTAGGTTTGATCATTTGGACCATTCTTATTGCACCAGCATCACCAAACTGAAGTCATGTCGTCATCTTCAAACCCTTGAGCCGCGCTGCAAAACTGCAAGATTGTCTTTTTCGTAAGTTCTATAACCTGTGTCATTAGGCTGATATCGCACCTTTGTGCCGTTCTTCATCCCATCATGACCATCCAAAAGCAGTTTATCCCTGGCAGCTCGCACTACCGCCTACGCAAAATCGTCTTCCTGCCGATGTGGTGCACTTCTCCAGCCATATATCCTTCAAGGCATCAGTCGAAACTTTCAGTTACGCCAACCCCTCATGTAGTACCCCTCACAGGGTATTTGAGGAAGTACCGTATTTACTCGCACTCGCATAATTCTCGCACCCCCCACATCGCCCAAGAAAAATGCGATTTCTTTTTTTTTTTTTTTTTTTTTTCTCGAGTAATTATCGCACCCCCGAAAACTGCTGCAAAAATGTCGTCTGCTCGTTTCAGCCACTGATGATGATAGCGCGTGCCATTTGGCGCCATCTCTTAAGCATCAAGCATACTATTGCATGCAAATTCAATCCAAGCCAAGCCAAGCCGAAGTGGCCAGTGCGCGTTGCGGCGTGTTTTGTATGCTGTGTCGGTAATCTTGGCACGTTATGGTGTGATACTGAAGCTATACGGCTGCTTCAAGTTCCAAGTGATAGATGACAACGGCACTAAACGACGGCAACAGGGCTGCCGGTAGGCCCTTCGGAGTCTACGAGTTTTGTGATCGCTACTGGTGACGACAGCTGAAAGCCACCAAGACGCGTTGGGCCTGCCGTGGGCCTAAAACTGGGATTGATGGTAAACTTTATTTCGTCAGAAGGAAACTGCGGACGATTCTGTTAAATAGCCATACGCCCAATACTGACGTCCTACGCTTACCTTTTGAGGGCTCCTGTTGAGCGACGAACGCTACCATTACGCCCACAACGCCCACAAGCTTTGCGTATAGTATTCTAATTCTCGACTATTTGCTTGCACGTTTTGTGTCTCAAATAAATCTTGCCTTGTGTTGAACCTCTGCTTTTATTGTTGAGGTAACTCTTAATTAGTACTTCTTAAAGCTTGCTATTAGTTGCTGGTGTGAGAATCCCGATTTGCGGCCACTTCGTTTTTTTTTTTTTCGCTCAGTGCGTTTTTGTGAAAAGTTCTCCCCGTGTAATTCTCGTACCCCCCAACTTTTTTTTTTTTTTCGGCAAAAAAAGTGCGAGGATTATGCGAGTAAATACGGTAATAGATAAATGATAAATATTTGGGCATACTAATACAATGCACAATGGTAATTCTTGATTGTTGGGGCAAGTCCTCATCCTGTAGTCAACATAGATCATCAGCTGTTGTTAAGTAGGCTCATTGCTTTTATGGCAGATAATGAATTCTGCTCAAATGTCTACAATACCACTGTTGCACAATGAAAACACTGTCGTGCTACGAGAAGAATTTTGTATTTTTTGTGCATAGGGATTTAGTGAGTGCGTTTTCTTTAGGAATGGTGTTGTGTATTTAATGTAAGTGCATTCTGGCAGTGGCGATAGGAGAGGCGTATTAGAAGCGACTAGAAGCTTAATCAACTCTGCTTATGCAGGATAACACAGAGCTCAAGAATGAGCTGGCCCGCAAAGAACAGCTGCTGCAGAAATACAATGAGAAAATTCACTATTGGCAAAGCCTACTGAATGACACAGCTAACGCAACAGGACAGCAGCCACAGCCACTGCCACAAGCACCACAGGGAGGCGGAGCACAGCAAGGCATGCCTTCACAGAACCAGCAGTCTATGCCTATGGGCGGGGCAGCGCAAGGCCTGCCAGGTCCACTAGCCTACTTGGAGCGGACCACATCCAACATTGGCATGCCTGATCCCAGGAGATGAAGGCTGGTGGTACACCGAAGGGACTGAAGCCAGAAGGTAATGCTGTGTGTGAACTCCTGGAAACTGTCGCACACAGTGGTGAAACACAAGTGACCAAGTGTACTATTATGAATATTGACCATTTTTGTCTGCAATCAACCCTCCGTTAGACTATTGTTACGGTCTTGCTCCTTTGCCAACATCAGTTTACTGCCGCCTGTAGCCAGTGCGCCGAAAGGGGTTGCGATGCTGCAAAATAGTTCTTTTTGCCGCCGGGTGTTGTGGCTCCATCAACAAAAAGGTGTATTTGGGGCGTCTTTTTATCACACATCAGTAATCATCCATCTCGCGCGCTTACCTCGCGTTATTGCTGCGGGCGCGGTACAGCTCAGTCATGATAGTGCAGCTATCTGCACTACACAGCATTATTGATTGGAAAATGGCGAGCCCGGTCCTTGAGAAAGGCAACGGAAGCAAGTGAGATAACTAGTATTACTGTGTAGTTGAAAAATGCCCCAAGTACTCCTATTTTCCTTAGGGGCTTGATCGGATATGAGAACAGGGGACAAAATTAAAAAGAAAGGTATAAAATCGGGGTCTTTCGAGCCAAAACTGGATGAACTGTGACCACCTAGACTGCTTTAAAAGTCTCTTAGACATAAGTACATAGGTGTTAAATGTTACGAAATCAAACCAATGGCCTCATGCTCACTAATCATCAATTGATTCATTGATATGTGGGGTTAAACATCTGAAAACCACCATATGATTATGAGAGACGCTGTAGTGGAGGGCTCCGGAAATTTCGACCACCTGGGGTTCTTTAACGTGCACCCAAATCTGAGCACACGGGCCTACAACATTTCCGCCTCCATCGAAAATGCAGCCGCCGCAGCCGGGATTCGATGTAAATATATCTCGTCATAGAAATTTTACCATATATCAATTTATTTAGAGCTGCGAGAGCCCGAGACATGAGCGGACTGGACTGTTTAAAACGCGGCGAAGTCCGCCGAGAGCGCGGCGACGAAAAGAAAAGGAATGCGGTACTTCTTCCGTTCTAGTGGTTTTTCATATGCGGCGCAAACGTGAAGCGTCACTACTCTAGTATATATTTTTTTGATGTCACATTAAAGGGGCCCTGCAACATTTTTTGAGCATGGTCAGAAAACGCTGCCTATTGATAGTCAAAGCTCCGGACAACAAGTACGCAAGCCAAATATTATAGTGTATTATAGTGCAGCACACGGCCTGGAATGCACAATAAATTCTGAAACTCAGCAAAAAAATTGCTTTATGTTCTCTCGGCAAATCATGCTACAAGCTCAAAAAGTCACTTGTCACAGCCATTGTATCAGCCATTCGCTGGCTGAATTAAGCATGGCGCGCTCTGTCGTTACTGCGGCAGCGACAGGAAGCTGCGACTTGTCTTCGCGTGCAATTGCAACTGAAAAGCCGCGTATTCGAAGAGAGAGAGACAAAAAAGAGAAAGCGCTCAAGGTTACCAGGTGTGCGTGACATATTTTCTTCCCCCGTGCCATCCCTCCAGGCTTAGCTTCCAGTGCTTTTGTCGGAACGAGCAGATTTGCAACTCCGTTGGTACTGTATGGATTCTGAAGATTTTTTTCGGTGGTGAATCCGTGAGGCAATAAGCTCCTTTAGGGAATCCATTCCATGACTACTTGAAAAACTGTTTCAGGGCCTCAATAATAATGAGATGCGTAGTAGCCAGAAATTATTTTAGGAGGAAAGGGGGGGTTCAACCATACTTTGTATGTTTGTGCATGCATTTTTATGTGTGCATGTATGTAAAGCACAATTAAAAAATTTTGGAAGTTTTAACCCCCACACTCTTTCTCCCCCTGGCTACGTCCATGCATGACTTTAGACTTCTGAGCTGCAATTGAAGAGTGGCGCTGCCAATGCAAATAACGATTTATTTTCTTTGTTTCTGGCTAGGAGGGGAAGGAACATCCGCGCATGCGCCTGCGGCGGGAAGAATGGTGGCAACGCCTGACACGCCGGCTCGAGCGGCGCCAGCCCGCCTTGCGCACACTCGCACGCACGAATGAGCGCTCTTTCTCGTCTCACAATCACCGAGGCTTCAAGCGCCGCCGCCGTTTTGCGCTTCGTCGTCAGTGAGGCAACCGCATGGGACGATGGTCGAGCTAAAATGACAAAATTCAGGGCAAAATTTCTAGGTTGTTGATGGCAAAAATTTTTTATATAAGGGTTGTCTCTCGCTGCCGATTAATAGATGTCACAAATACATCTGCATCTATGGAGTAACGGCGGGGAATAAGAAAAAAATCGTAATATCGATGAATTTGTTGTATACAAATTTGTTATAGGCAGGTTTAACTGTTTAATAAAATTCAAGCCAGTTATAGCCAATTGCTAAAGCCATTTAAAACAATATTCATGTGCCATAAAGATTACATTTTTATAATTGGGTTGTGTGGAAAAAAGCTATAAAGCTGTTGGGGGACACTGGCAGAGCTGCTGGTACTGTACTTTACCAGTGCCCCTCCACAATTCTTCCTCGACTGCAGATTATGTTAGCTCGTTTAAAACTAAAAAAAGGCGACCTTACCTAATGCATTACGTCGGACGCACAGCTTTATTAAGTGAAGAACATATCTAAAATAAAGCTCTAAGCAGATGATTGCATTCTCTGTCAATTCCATTGACGATCATTACCATCCTGCACAATCACTCATGTCTTTTAGCAACTGGCGTGACATGAGGTAAATGAACGTTCACCGCATTTAAACAGTTGCGACATCTTTTATCAATTGGCGCAACCCCTTATGACTATTCTCTACAAATATTTAGGAGCAATTCAAACAGAACATTTCTCATAGACTCGCCGTATTGATTATTTATGCAGTAATGCGCTAAAAAATTAAGTCATTTGTAGAGCACTTTACCTAACACCCCTTGAGCAAATGGTACTGAACTGCTTTTATATAAAGCACTCATTCGCCCCATTCTTGAATACGCATCCGCAGTCTAGTTCCCTTACAAACGTCGCAAAATAAGCTTTCTAGGTAACATTCAGCGAAAATCTATCCGTTTTACTTTTCATAGCTATGTATAGCCCCAAATTCTCCTCGACCTCAGTCTTTCAATCATTAATTCCATTACAACTCTTGTGATACCAAAATGAAGCTTTAACATTTTTATACAGAATCATTAACTCCTTCTCCGGCCTTTCTGATGATAACTTCATCACATTTACTGATGAAAGTTGTACTCGTAGTTGCCAGGCTTTGAACATCATAACACCTTTCTTGTGTACTAGAACTGTGGAACGCCCTGCCTGGCAATATTCGCTCCTCATCACTAAAAGACTTCATAGTAGCTGTCAATGAACATTTTACTAACGTGTAATCACCTTAATTTTCACTTTTACTATGTTGCGTGTGTACTCGCATCACCGTTTGTATTCTTTGTTTGAATTTTTTTTCTGCTGCATGGAATTATATAATGTCCCACTCCTGCTACAGCTCTGAATAGGGCTGCAGTATGTATAGATAAAAAAAATAAAACCCTCAAGTTTTCATGTGCTCTTGTGTTCAAAGGCTGCTTATTCCTGCAGTTTTTAGACTGTAGATCAAATGTCTTGTCCTACACGCCAATGGGCACCTTACCCTAACAAAGCGTGTTGCCCAGTGTCCTCCGTGTGTACGATAAGATGGTGTGTATCTCTAGCATCCTTGTTGAAGTCCTTCAAAAAATTGGGAGAGCGTGCCTGACCTAGTATTTTTTCTTTCTTTCTACAGAAGGGTTGAAAAGCGAGCTAGTTGGTATTGATTCATGCTGAAATATTGGCAGTGCAAACTAACTGAATGCAAAAAGAGGAGACAAACAAGTGCAACAAACTGCGCTTGTTCGTCTCCTCTTTTTGTGTCCCGTTAGCTTCCACTGCCATTATTTCAGTACGAGTCTTTCTTTCTGTTGCATTGTGCAATATTCCCTCTTATAGCCTTTACCTTCCTACAGGCAACGATGGCAGTCGTGTGTGAAACGGTGAATTGCTACGAGAAAATGTGGCAATATGAAATGACAAGTGACCTTGACAAAAGATATTTAACACGGCCAATTACTTAGAAGCCCACAACTGAGAAAGCATCAATTATTGGAAAACAGCACATATAAATAAACATCAGACTCTGCCCAGGCGGCGCTGTGAAAAATGCCACCACCACCGCTCTCACCACCGCCCTTGCCATAACTGAGCCATCCGCAAGCGAGTGTGCATAGCCCCCCTTCTTTCGCTGGTGTTGAGAAGCAGTTTCCTGAAAATTAAGGGCCTGAAAAGCTTCTTTTGTCAATCCACCATTGCTTCAGTAGGAAGCTCATGAAAGTGCAGGTAAAATGCAAAAAATTGTTTAAGTTATTTTGGCGTGCTGCAACAGTGAGCACCGCATGACATCGACTTTGAAGCAAGCACTCTGACGTGCGTTCTGTACTGTCTATAAATGTGTTAAATTTGAACATACACATAATGTCAGAGCAATGAAGGACATACACGAGCAATGTATCTTACGATGAGTGGTACGAAGCTCACTTTATCAGGCATGAATGCCCTTCGCGATTTTCGCCTTTGCAGTTGCATTCTCTATCCATCTCTCGCTTCCTGGACATTTAACTGTTTTATTACGCATCCTCAAATGATCTGTTGGCGGCTGTCTTCTGTTCGTATACACTGCAAGAGAGGATACAAGCGTTTTCACTCTCTCAGTGTACGACGAAAGGCAGAACCGAAGTCTCCGAGATAGCTCCGGTAATCGCAGAGACCACGGGCAGAAAAACGTGATGGCAGTCATGACCAGCATTTTGTGACTTTATAGTATGATGCACATGTTAACTGTGAGAAAAGCAGGTGTAGCCTCCAGTTTAATCGATGATGGTGTTGATCCTCAGCATTGGAAAAGGAATGAGCAGTGTCTGGCTATTTATTGCTCTTCTGTGCGCAGGCACCAGCTACCATCTTCCTTTGAAGCGATGATGACAGGTGAGGTAAATGGAGACACTGATTGATTGACTGATATCTGGGGTCTAATGTTCCAAAACTACTACAAGATTATAAGAGACGCTACAGTGGAGGGCTCCGGAAATTTCGACCACCTGGGGTTTTTTAACGTGCACCTAAATCTGAGCACACGGGCCTACAGCATTTTTGCCTCCATCAAAAATGCAGCCGCCGCAGCCAGCATTCGATCCCATGACCTGCGGGCCAGCAGCCGAGTACCTTAAGGCTTGTTCACATCGAAGGTGGGGCGGCCAAAGCGGTAAAGGGGCAACGCGGTAAGCGGGGAAAACCTCCTCTCCAGGCGGCGAAAGCGGGAGAAAAACCAGGCGGCAAAGGCTGATTGCTCTCAGCAATTTTTTGCCGCCTGCCGAGGCTGGCCACTTTGCCGCAGCCAATCAGAATGCCACGCAGCGGAGGCGTGGGTGTACGTTTGGGAGAAGCACTGACACGTCATAGCGACACGTGCGCAAAATCGCGAGATGCCCGCTTCTTCTGCCGCGCGACCAGACGAAGGAGGCATGCGGTCCCAACAGGTTCACGCACTCGCCGCCTGCTGCCTCAGAAATCTCGCTTTGCCGCGCCACCTTTGGTGTGAATGAGCCTTTAGCCACTATACCACCGCGGCGGGGCAAATGGAGACACTGAAGGGCAAATTACTTTGGCATCTAACATTTCTTGTGCCATGCTTTCTTCTCTTATGTCAAGTTATATAGCTTTATCTTGACTATTTGGTTTAAAGCAGGAACAGAACCTTGAACTTTGTAGTTGCCGGTGGATACCCTCCCAAGCAAACTAGTTTGGGGTACCGTTGTGAAATTTCACTGTTTTTGTTCGATATCCACAGGTGGTCTGCTTTGCGTTTTGGCTCCGCTTTGTCATCTTCTTAACCCACTGCATCATCTCAATTCAGCCTCAACAGCTTCATATCCGGACAAGCAAAGAAAATGTCTACACCAAAGTGTCTAAAACTAGGCTACAACTTCCGCAGTTTAAACTGGTACATCACTTTCAGACAGGCCTGACAAAAACAGACAAACAGCCTCGTTTTGCGCCTTAGGGTCAGACTGAGAACTCTCCATTCGTTCTTTTTTTTTTTTTTTTCTTAAATCTGTGCAATGAGCGCTCCTCAATCATGTACTCTATCTTGGTGGTGTGCAATGACTCGTAGTGACCCGTCACTTGGGAAGACTTTGGTAGCTGCTCACGAAACTCCTAATGCTCCTGTCCTTTGAACATCTTGATGAGACTTTGCCTTCGTCTCCATCTAATGACGGGCCATATCTTGGAGTGACTGCAGCAATGTCTCCAGAGTTTCTGGCATTCTAGCTTGAACCGTTGTTACAATTCCTAAGGTAAGCTGTGTATGACTAGTGCTACAGCAGAAGTCGGTGGAAGATCTGGCTTTGGAAGTAGCAGCAATCGACACTTCTCAATGTAATAGCAGAGTCCTTTAATAATTTTACTGGTCATGAAGCTTCGACGTAACTCTGTGGGAGAGCTTTGTGCGCTGCAAGCGGAGGCGGCGCTGCATCCTCGTGCGGGACATTGGGCAGACCGGAGGAAAGCTGGCTACCGGTGCCGTTTTGGGTTCACTGCATATTATCGTGGCGTGTCATCGTGCAGTTTTCACCATGTGATTACTATTTTGCCTAGTGTTCTGTGCCTAAAGATGGACAAGGATGCTGTGTACCTGGTTGTCAACACGATTATAAAATAAATGATGAAAAAGTCTCCAAGTTCTTGCGGCTTAGAGATGGTGAACAGGGGAAAAGTGGAAGCGCGCAATGCCACGACAAGACACTGGGGGTTTCACATATGATTCCCCGAATGTACATGAGTGCGAAAAGCACTTCAATGAGAGTGACATCATTCGCCTGGACCAGTGGTTAATCAGAGGTGGTGTGAAGTCACCGTACGACGTTCCGAAACTTCTGCCGATGCTGTGCTGAGGATTTTTCACGGCCTCATGGCGTATTGTTATAGTGCAACAAGATGCAGAGCTCACCCGCCTAAAAGTGTTGATGGGAACCGTCAACGAGCTGGATACTGTTGAGGCTGCAATGAACTGTGCATGAGCCCTCTTGACATAGCTGCAATAGATAATGACGCATTTAATAAAGGTGAGCATACCGGCCGCCTCTTCCTCGTTTCATGCCAGTATGTAATACAGAAGCCCGATTAGTGAAACACTCATCATTTTCGTTTAAAAAAGGCACTGAGATGACCAAATGTGTAGAGGTGATATGCCTAACAGGTTGGAGCTACATGCAGCTCCTCACAGCTTGAAAAAATCAAAGCACACATCTGTTGCATGCAACAGAGACTTCAGCGCTACCAATAGAAGCTTGCTAGGATGACAGCGCAAGAGAGGTTGCACCAAAATGATATGCAAAATGTGTGCAAGCTATAAAAGCGTGAGAAGTTAATTTTCAAAATGAACGTGTCTTGAGCAGGAGAAGATAACTTTTTGAGTTACATGTTGACACTGCCAGCGGGGGACGCAGTCGGTCAATTTTTACGTTTGCGGAAGTGTGTAAGGCTTTCGACTTGACAGTGAAAACAATAAAGAACAACAGGGAAAACACAGCACGAGTAAACTACACAGCAGAGTAAACGATTGGGAAACTACATTGCCAGCCTAACTTAGAACGCACTACGGCACCATAGTGATAACTCAACTCAAAACAGAATAGGAAAATGGGGTAAAAGTCACATGAAGTATTGCTTGATCCTCATCACTTTAATTAAAACCACTGATTCATTCAAAGTGGCTCTTGATTTAATAAATACAAGGCAAATTTTAAGATATATATCTTCACATAGAAACACCAAATGCATATGTAGCCTGAAAGGTTGTATATGTGCTGTTAAAAGTTGGAACCACTACACTTGGGCGATGCTTTAGGAACCCCCAGAGTCGTTGAGGAACTCTGGGTTGTCGACAAATTTTCACTATGTGCTTCAGGAAAAATTAAAGAAGCATGCTTTTATAGCCATAGCATATCTCACAGTGGAATCGCCATGCCGTCAAATTTCTAGCTTCAAGGCCTCATTTTACCCTAAATTTCACTGTATTAGGGCATCCCCTAATTTCCTAAGGTAACATCACTCTAAAGACTTATTCAACCTTCACGGCTACATTTAATGGCGTTTCAGAGCTCTGGCGGATGCTATACAATCGCAGCCGCTCCGATCCTCAGCCGTGGGCGAGGGTGCCCCTAGCGGTTGCTCCTGTCCCTATATCAAACTTTCGCTGAAGCTTCATGACCAGTAAAATATTGACGGACTCTGATCTGACTTTCGAACCACAACATTACTATGTCGAACCACAACATTACTCATGTGGGAAAATTGGTGCATGTTGACGGAATATCAACGAAAATATTGACGGAATGGCTTGGTTCTATTGCTCAAGCAAGCTCCCACAAAATGATGAAGTAAAGCCATCAATGTTCTCCATGGATCATATTCTTGTTCCATAAGACGCAGTTTGTATTATTTTTGTGCACTGCCAGTTAAAAACGTGAGTGTATGTTTCATCCGTTCATCCCTATCGCAGCCGTTTTGTCTACAGGCGTATTCAAAGAAAGTAATCCATGCCTCTAAATTTCCTCAAAGATCGAAGAGTTCTGGTTTCACCTTGATAGGATGGCTTTCTTTCAGGCTCAGAGCCGATGAGAAGGTCTGAATCATTCCATTTTGTAGACAAACTTGTTTTTGCTGAGCTTGAGTTGCCTGAAGAGTAACAAATAGGTTTGTTTGGGAGGTTGGCTTTGATGCAGTTGGCTTCTCTAGTTTCAATGTTACAAGGTGGTTGAAAAGAGAGACTTGAAGATTCATCTTCACGGACATTTTTTTCCAAGAGTTCGTCCAGAGACATAGACGCCATGTTGAGAACTGTACAGAACAGCTCACCTGTTATCACGTCGACGGGAAGATAAACAGGCTGGTCTTCAGGAAGTGTGCACTTTGTGAAGGCCAGGCTGGCTGTGGCTAGCTGAACGAAGAAGGTAACTTACATCATGGATCGTCAAAGCCGGCTGCGCCAATACATGTAATAAAACTTCACGTAATCACCGACACTGAACACAGTCTATCTTGTTCTATCGAACTTCCTTATTCTCTTCAACAACTGCCCCTTGTCTTTCCGTCTTGTTCACCCCAGGTGGTCTAAATTTCCGGAGCCCTCCACTACGGCGTTTCTCATAATCATATAGTGGTTTTGGGACGTTAAACCCCACATATCAATCAATCAATCCGTCTTGTTCCTACTATTATGTGTGGGCTGCTCGCCTTACTTCAATATATATATACAGTAGGTGTACAAGCACACACAAACATCTGGGACATGAGGACAACAGCAAACATTTGTGGAGTGTTCATATAGCAAGCGTTGCGCAGCACGGCTGTTTTCTTGTGAACGGTTTGCATAAAAAGTGGGGAAAAGTGCATCGCAATTTTTCAAATTTAAAATTATGAAGCCTTTTTCCATGCGACAATCCTTGCTAGCTAAGAGTTTCAGTTCGATCTGCACTCATCCAGAGTGCGAGCAGTGCATGGTGCGATTGGCTAGTTCTGAAACAACATTTTTTTACGATAAGGTGGAATGATGCAGTATGCCATGGTGAGTCAGTAGTTCGGCTGCTCAGCTGCTGACCACAAGGTCAGGGGTTCAATCTTTGTCGTGGCGGTTGCACTTCGGTGGTGAAAAATGGTAGAGGCAGGTGTGTAGTGCAATGTCAGTGCAAGTTAAAGAACACCACATGGTCTAAATTTCCGGAGCCCTCTAAACTACTATGGCATACCTCATAATCATACTGTAGTTTTGGAACGTAAAGCCTCAGACATTATTATGTATTGGAATGTTGCACAGTATTGTGTAGCATTTAGAGTCCTGTAGCAAGATGTCTCACTGACCTCAATTTAACAAAACGCATTTGTTCCCTTGGTGTTCTTCCAAAATTAGATGTTTATTTTATTGTGTGCAAATTTTGCACCGTATTCATACTGTAGCCTTAACTAAATTAAGTTTGTGCTCATCGCACTTGCATTTTAGTAGCATGTGTGGGAAGGACACATGGAGAAATGAATGTGCCTGCCCGTGTTGTTAGGCAGCCACGGATGGATGGTTTAGCCAAGAATCCTAACAACGTAGTGCGCAGTGGGCTTCTTCCACGCTGGGATCGAGGGGCAGGCTAAGCCTGAACATCATATTATTGAGGCCTCTGCCAAGTACAAATCAACTGTATGGTCCACAAATTCGAGACTTGATCATAGAAATATTTAAACTGATAGCATGTATGGCTAATTGGTAAGTGTACAAACACTTGTTGGTAAGTACACCATGAATGAACTAAGCGGGACTAAGAAACGACGTAAGTACTAATAATTTGTTCTTGGGCAAATTGGTACATGCTTACTGAAACACACAAGACATGCAACTACAAAAGAAAGTCTCCATCTTCTGTCTTATCAGCTTTCTTCCAGCAAGGACAACTTCACACATGGGCTTGAGACCAACACGTGGTGCTCGCCCTTAATGGTGGACTGTGGAACCACTCTAGAATGTATGAACAGTATGTACTAGAGATAATTTTTGCTTGAGTGGCTGGTGGAGGCATGCAAAAGTTTCTTATTCAGGTTTAAGTAGTAGTATATGAGTTCCATGCATACGAGTGTATACTTGATATAATCATACACACCAGGTAATTTTGTTGTCGAATGACTGTATGCAATGACATTGAAAAAATGAAGTGACATTGGAGACTTTTGTGGGAAGAGTGATTAAAGTCAAAAGATGTACTCTGTCCTTCATTATGAAAGGAAACACTGGAGCGAATGGCCGGCGCTCTGCGGCGGCCGCCTACAGCGCCAACAACCAACAGCGATAGAAAACATGTCTGCTTTCAGTGAACAAAATAACCAGTCAAAATAGCCAGACTCGCCGTGGCCGGCCGTGACTGGCTATTCGTGCCAGGTGTCATCCGTGCACCACGGTCGATTTGTTTGCAGCAGACGACGCGTTGCAGGCATCGCCGGTTGCGCTATCGTAGCGAGAGCGTAATCCAGCTGCCCTTGTCTACCGGCCGTGCCTGGCTATCTTGATCGCCGATAGATGACGCCAAAAGCGAAGGAGTTTTCTTTCGCTGTTGGTTTACGGTGCTGTAGGCAGCTGCCACACAGCGCCGGCCACGCACTTTCATGTTCTTTTACATAAAGGAGGATCGAGTACATTGAGAAGAAGCTTAGTTTTACCACAAAATGTTTTACTAATCTGTATTTGCAATTATAACTTATGCGACCTCTAAATATACTTTTTTGATGGAGCACTTTCCAAGCATTCAGACGCACAAAATGGAGTGTGTGTGTGTGCGCACGAGATTTGTTTGTTTTTTTTAGTGTCCAAATTTAGTCTGTGCACAACAAAGCTCATTCCTGCTCGTGACCCAAAATAAAGTTGTCTTTACTGCTAGCTGCCCCTTTATACTCTCTCGTTTCTCTTATGTGCAGCTTTTGCTGACCGTGCAAGTTTTTTTCTTTATATAATTCCAGATTCTGTTTATTGCAGTTACTTGCATCTGTAGTGATGCTGTCCTATCAATCTCATTTCTGCTTTTCATTTCTACTAATATTCCAAATGTTTTATTAACAGTTGACCAGTTAATACTTCTAAAGTAATGGAGATATAAGGGATATAAGGTACAGGGTGCTTTTTCCTGAACTTTATTACTTTCAATTTGACATGTAGGATTCAACGTCCCAGAACCGCCATATAAATATGAGAGACGCCATAGTGGAGGGCTCCGAAAATTTCGACCACCTTAGGTTATTCAACGTGCACCCAAATCTGAGCACACGGGCCTACAGGATTTTTGTTTCCATCGAAAATGCTGTAGCCGCTGCAGCCGGGATTCGATCCCGCGACCTGCGGGTCAGCAGCCGAGTACCTTGCCAACTAGACCACCACGATGGGGGCTTATTACTTTCAATTTAAGTCATGATCATTACACTACTGTTAAAATTATGTCTCTTATACTTGGAGCCATATTCAGGAACTCCAAATACTGATTCACCAAGTGTGTGGAGCGACAGATTGCCGTAAAATCCCAATGCAGAACGCAGCACTTTGACTACTCCCACAGCATTCTAGGTCACTCTAGCTAGTTCATAGCTGTACTGGCGACATTGAAACAGCGCTTGCATTTTTGGAGCAGGCCAGGACAAAGACATCTTTCTGTAGACTTACAAGGTGTGTTGATTTATGATAAGTACTCTGAATGTTCATCAATCCTATGCCACTACAATACCATAATACTCTTCTCAGGTTACGCTTTTTCAAGTACCAGTTTTCAATGCATTTTAATATCTTGAAAATGTTCGAAAAGAAGTATTCTTGCTGTAGCCTAAATACAATTCAAAGCATCTTCTACACAGAGTTTTAAATAGCCTGAAGAAAAATCAATTCCCTTAACAAGAGCAGAGTGTACTAGCACTCTGTAGCATGACAGCACAAGACCAACCCACCCGTCCATGCCCACTACAGGCACAATGCATATATTCAACATAAGCAGGCTACAAAGCTGCATCCATGCAAACACTTTATCACGCACATGCTGACTTACATCCTTCAGAATCGAAGTTCTCAACACGTGCTGACAAGTTCACCACTGCACGACAATGTCTCACTGCACACGCATCACTTGATATTTTTAAAACTCATTGACTATCATCAAGCACCCTTCCCTCAACAAGTCCTGGTCTTTCAACTGTTATAAGATGAAATTTGCACTGCCAACTAAAAGCAGCAAAAACTACATGCCCTTTCTGTACAATTCTGTGCCTCTTCAAACTTTTTTTTTTTCACTGAATACAGACAAGCTCTTGCACGAGCAGTTTGAAAAACAGCTGGTCGCCTTGGCCAAGAGCACTGTTTCTGCACTAGAATTTCGTTCTACTTTTCAAATTTCACACAAAAAAATGCGATTTGTGAATATTGTCGGAGCAGGAGTGTCGGCTAAGGGTCAAATAAGGTACACTTGACCACCTTCCTCGTTTCCTCTAGGCTGCACATCTTAGCACCCATAATTCGCAGGTACATTTTTTTCTTAAACAAATATAGTATGCTACTAGAATGAACCCCGCCTAAACCAACTGCCAAATGTTTATTGCAACAATAACATTTATTTTGTGTACTTCCCACAATGCACAGTTAGTCCGGATTGTCATGGCACTGAACCTACAGTCCCAACATTTTATTTTTTTACAGCGAAGCTGCAACATCCAGTCAGTAGAAATTTTTTGATGTTCCTCACAAAAAAAAGTATCATCATCATGAGGCAGGCACATCCACAAACAAGAAAAAAAAAAGGTCAGTGGCCACTCAACAGACGTGAAACGACAGTGGATACACACTAAAACCTCGATATAATGAAACATCGGTTATAACGAAGTAAAAGTAAAATAGTTTTGCCATAAGTACAGCATCAAGAATAACCTTAAAATAAATTTTTGGATACAATGAACTTATTTTTTTTTGTACGGTGTTACTTTGTTATACTGAGGTTTGAGTGTATTAACATAGTGTTCTGACTGTCACAAAAATAATAATTATAATGGAAAAATGACTTGCGAGGTAAGTGGGACAGCCAGTCGGGTCAATCACCAATGTGCTGTTGCTGACCCAAACGTGACATTGATAGGGGTGGCTGAAAATTCAATTGCCAGCAGCACTACAATCTGTAGAAGTGCATATGTTTGAAAGCCACACAGCCATCAAGCTCACTGCAACCATAACACACATGATCAGCTGCTGAACTGCATCAGCCACGTCGATGTTGGTGAGCTCCAAAGGTGAGGTCACACAGTTGTGCGACTTCACACATGCTGTGTAGCACAATAAGAGATCTCACATACTTATTTGTTTACAAATTTTGCACTCAACAGAGGATCAAGTGCACCATAGGAGCAAGTGAAAACATGAGAACACCTAGGAACAAGCAGACCTGCATTGGTGCTCGCATTTCAATATTGCATGCTTTGTTCACAGGGATTCACATCCTGCTAAAACAAGACATTCACTTTAAATCTGGAAAAAAAATATTAAAATGGTGCCTTTAGCCTACACTTTAACACTTTGTATAATGACCAGATGTAAATGTGACACTCCAATGTTCATGTAAGCTGGCACTTTTTATGCTACTCGTGGGCACTGAAAGAACCAGGCAGATTTATTGTTTTGGTTATTACAACCCATTCTGTCTCAAAGAATTGGTAGATTAACTGCATTTGTTTTTCTCGCAAACAGCCTAAGGCAAATAAATTCGACAAAAGCGATAAAAGTGAAATAGATCGGAGGCTGAGAAAAAGTGTCTGAAGAAAAGAAAAGTACAACTGGCAATTACCACCAACCTCATTCAGCCCATTCTTTTCTCATGACTAAATACTAAAGCTTATGAACCAACGAAGACTTCCAATAATGAATTTTACAGGTCGTCGTGATGATGGCAACTAAGAGCCCAAATGATTCACAAGTATTTTGAATACTTATATCGCAGAATACCACACAAGTTTAAAACAAGTGCTGTGTTATTTGGGAGAAAACAATATAATGGATGGAGAAAATCCTACACATAGTGTAGTGAACAGAGAGCTCAAATACCTAGCACTAAAAAATGTTGAAGGGGCAAATGGCCCCCCATTACATTGCAGCACGTTCTTTGAAATACTAGAAAGAGCATAATTGAGTCAGAAAAAAAAAGTAAAAAAAAAAGAAGTCACACCAATTTGCAGAAAAGCTTTGGAGAAAAGCAGTATGAATGTTGCCAGATTAAAATTCATAGTCAGATGTTGGGTTGTTAATATTCCCTACAAGGTAAGAGACCTTGCACTGAAAAGCAGCACTGCCTCAATGATAACAAGTGGAATGGCAAACCCCTCACGAGCCGTGGTGTCCTCAGTGGCACACTCACGGTTTCGAACTCAAGGTGAAGCTTTCTTCATGAAACTAGTATAGCAACATTGGCATGATGAAATATTACGTTCTTACAGCTAGGTATGCCCTTGCCTGCTTCCTCACAGAGTCTGTGAAGTAAGTGCACAGTGATTATACGCAGTTCTCAGCACATGACTTCATCTACACAGTAAATAGAAAAATACAGATAAAAAAATATGTACCCCAGCACTATCTGTATTATCGCTGTATGATTGGCAAGCTTTCTATTGGGAAAAAAAAAGTGATGAAAAACAGGTTCCATGAAAATTTTGTTCTATTACCACTTTAATAAAGCGCCGATCACAGGAGGAACCCTTTGTAGGCGACAAAAGAGCAAGGCCCAGGCAGAAGACAGTAGTGCTGCTACACATTTTCAAAGTACGCTGATATCTTAGTCGCTTATGTTCCAGAAATCGTGGCAATTGTTAAAGTAACATAACTTTGTAATCACCAATGAGCAGCAAATGCTCATGCTCAAGGCTTCTTTATAAATTCTTATTTATCATGGGCCCTAAGGCAGAACATGATGCTATGGGGAGGGGAAAAAAAAGCGCCACAGACTAACACACTTTATCTAATGAACATACTCTAAAGGATTTTGCATTATCAGGCTGGTTAAAAAGATTGACTAGGTGAAAAAATTCCACAAACTCTCCGCACCGCCACAACATTATACAGTTTGATTGACAGATGCCAGTTGACTGCAGCATACTAGCAGGGACATTCTTCAACCTGTCACTTGACAGTAATAACTGCATATTGATTACAAGCTGCCTACACAACCAGACAGGCATTGCGCAAAGATAGGATGTTTTTATTTGTGTCTTTTAACAAGCGAACACAAAGTACAAGTGCATAAAATCTTGAAATAAATTTGTGTCATCCTATACATCTGTCTGGCAGACACCTTCAAATAAAGGTCTATATCAAAAGCAGACTGTGTTTGTATACACAAATACAAATGTCATTATTTGTATATGATATATACATATATATACAGCAAACAAAATGACTTTCCATAAATGCATCCTTAAAAGCATTAGAATGGCAATAAGCCTAGGAAGTAAAACTAAACTAATTCTATCACGTTTCAAGCACAGTTGTGCCACTAGTCAACATGGGCACTAAGACATGCTCAAAATGATTATCAGAAATGATTCATTTCAGAGATATGCCACAACACAACATGGCATAAGGAGCCAATTAAGAGCTCTTGCAGAGAGGAGCCTTACAACATGGTTGCTGGACATCCTCCAACTGCCTTGACTACATATTTGCTTGAAGCAGGCTGAATAGGCAATTCACAACAAGATGCGCTGTAAAATCTTAAAAAGTAGCAGCTAAAATAATAAAAGGCTCTGTTCACTTCCTGGTCCAGGCCATAGCACTGATGCACCTTCAACACTAAATGCTACAGTGCCGACTGGAGTTATTGGAAAGATTGAACAGGCTCAATCCAAACCATGAGATGGTAAATCAAAGGTGCTGGTAATTCTGAAAGCAACATTCATTCCACTGGGGTTGTATGCCTAGGCATAGAGTGCAGTGAGCACCACTTGACTCCTCACGCACACAGGCCAGGGCAGCATACCCCTCTGGACTTAAGTGCAGCAAAAAATGGCTGCAGCTGGCATGCAGGGTTAATTTTGGTCAATATGAGCTGATTCAACTACTCAAAGCTACTTACGGCATTGAGCTAAAAATGGACTAAATGTTCTTGAGAACAAGGCTTTGTGTCCCTTGATTTTGCCCTTGTACAAACCACTCCACAGGAAGGGTGCTCAAGCACACCGAACTTCATCAAGCACTGCAGAGGTGCTGGTGCAACACACGCTCGGCAGTGCACCCACAGGCACTGATGTGCTCGCGTGCTGTGCTCTCTCAGTCAAGTGCTGCAGGGGTTCCCGGGCACAGTGGTCGCAGGGGGAGGGGGCACTAACTTGGAGTGGCCACAGCTACCTGGACAACAAAGCCCATTTGCAGCTTGGCTTCATCGACACGCGTCCGATCTGAGAGCAGCTTGCCCCCAAAGAACCAACGTTGCTGGCTGGTTGGGATGCCCTCAAGGTCCTCCAAGCGCCGCTTCGCTGCCAGGATGGTCTCACCTGTGCGCACAGCCATCTTAGTGTCCTTTCCTGTAGTAGAGAGGCGCAACTTGAGAAGTATCTCATGACCCGCACATGGCTCGCTCTCTGGTGATGGTGACTCGGCATCACTTGCATCCTCTACCAGGTTGCCTGGTGCACTCAGACAGTAGACAGGCAGCTGGTACCGGTTGCCTAACTCATCATAGCAGTCAAGCAGGGTCCCTGCATGAATAAAGCAAAGCCACTGCTAATCATGTCTGCACGCAAAGGCTGGTCAGTAAATTCAGAAACCTACATAAAGCAAGCATGCAGGATGCCAGCTGGCATCCTGCGTTATCATTCCATTGCATACGTACAATTTAGGATGATGTAGACCACCGCAGATACTTGGCGAAAATCTGCATGCAAAAGCTAGTCAGTAAATCCAGAGACCTACATAAATCAAGCATGCAGGATGCCAGCTGGCATCCTGTGTTATCATTCCACTTCGTACATACAATTTAGGATGATGTAGACCACTGCAGATACTTGGCGAAAATATCTCTGTCAAAAGCTGCTCAGTACACAAATACACCAGTTGGTTCTACTTCCATGGAACACTTTAAACAAAGTTCATATCAAGGAACCTGACATTTTTGCTGGAAGGCCAGTGGCTAGACCACAAAGAAAGAAGTGTAGCGAGAGAGGAAGACGAGACGGCGGCCAACGTGGTTGTGTCGTTCTCTCGCCACTTTATTCCACGCCTGAAGCGGAGCCGCGTGGTGGCTGTCCACGTCCGACACACCAACTGCGCTAGCTTGTTCTAATCGTCGCGCAGCTCGAGCTAGCATCAGCTGCGCGAGAGGCGCGACGCGGTGATTGAGAAATGATGATGGTGATGGTGGCACTACAGGGCTCCCCCCTAGCGCTTTGTGCGATTTGAAGGCATATGAAAAAAAGAAAGAGAGCGACAAATGCTATATACATGAACGACAATCCATAAAGTGTTCATTTGGCAAGTCCAGGTAGTCAACGTTTATAGGCCATCGGTAAGCAGTATGTCTCCGGTGGGTGACTCTGGGAGAAGCGCAAGGGACGAAGAAGGAAGTGCCGGGTCGCTGTGGTTGCCGACAAGCGGGTCTCAGGATGACCAAGTCGGACAGGCCGAGAGTGGACAGTGTGTCGCGAGGTCATGCTGCTAACGTCGGCAGAAAGTCGGCAGTGCGGGTTTTGACGTTGGGGTAGACGCAACACAGACCTCAAAGTTGAGCGGCGTCTGACGTGCCGACGCACGCAGGAACGTGTCCTAACAATGCCGCCAAGTGTACTGTGGGTAGTCGGGTACACGACTAGTGGTGGGACATTGCGTCGGATAGGCCGAGTAGGCGCTTGCGCTGTCTTCAGGGCTGTGACTGTAACTCGTGGCTGCGTAGCAGGGCGGCTCAAAAGTTGCCGCAATGTGCGACGCCTAGCGCGTTGTCGTCGCCGACGTAGGGTGATGGGTGGTAGACACGTATGAGGTATGAGCGTCATCGCGGTTGTGACACACGAGCTGGCCTTGTGGACACACGTCTGGTTGTTGCCGTCCGGGGGCAAAGGCTCCGGGAATGGTGGTGGTGGAACCCAGTCAGCGTGGGCTCGCCCGGAGTATTGGACGGGACACCTGTGCTCGTGTAATGACCTCCGGTAGTCCGCGCACGAGGGTTGGCGTGCAGGTCTGCATAATTGATGGCTTCCTCTAGCCAACACCCCCTAGACTGCTCCACCACAGGCGTGGTATGCCTGGTGAGCCCTGTCTGAAGTGGACCGGGCACGTCGTCTTCAAGCGCGTCAGTCATAGTCGCAGCGTCTTGGAAGCTTGGCCGTGGTTGATGGCTGGTGGCTTTAACTTCAGCTGCGGGAAACTGCGAGGACGATGGTGGTCGTTGCTGGCAGGACGTGCAGAGCGTTGAGGCTGGTCGACAGTCGCCTTTGGACATCTGGGAGGGTGAAGGTTTTGCAACTGGGAGGTGAATAGCGGGCGTGATAATGCCCATAGTCGTGGTAGTCACCAGGGCGTTCGGTGATGTTGCCGTCGTAGAACCTGACGTGTCAGCCATGTTGTGAGCCATGGAGGTCGGCCGAGACGAGCCGGTGGTAAGCATGCTTGCAGTGTCGTCGGCCGAGGACGATGAAAACACAAACCCCGTGGCTGACTGGTTGCCTTCAGCCCAAATGTCGAGAACCTTGGCGGATGGGCAGTTGGGCGCATGACACGCGTCGCTAGTGGCCAGACGAGAGGTTAAGTCTCGTTTATCGGACGTTGTTGAAGGCGAAAGCTTCGAGGTCGGGAAGTCAATAACGGGCGAAAGGTCACCTGTGCCAGACTCCGAGGTGGGCGGCAAGGTGGTCGTCATGGAGTCTGGTGGGGCCACGGTGTCGCGTGCCGTCGCTTTCATGGAAAACGTGCAGGTAGCAAGCGTGCCAGAAGGATTATCGGCCGAGGACTTCGAAAAAACGCACTTCCTGGTGGACAGGTTGTCGGCAGCAGGAACGACTTCAAGAACCTCGTCGAATCTGTGACCGGGTGCGAGAACCACTGCGCTAGTGGCCGGACCAAAGGTGGAGGGAGACGTTGTCGGGGAAGTTGGGTTGCGGTCAGATGAGAGCTTCGGGCCGGAGGGTCCAGCACGCTGCGACGCAGGGAAAACCTGAAAGTCGCGGGTAAACGGCAGCGGGTGGTAGGTGAGGCCATAGCTGGCAAGCACCGCAGAGCAGAGGTCATCGTAAGGCTGCTGGCTGGAGGTTGAAGTGGCAGAGAGATGACGCAACTCTACCGGAAGGGCGTCATGAAGAATGGCATGCATCAGCGGCTGTTCCGTGACGCCATTCAGCGCAAGAACGGCATCGAGCTGCATGAACCATACCTTGGGGTAGGTCGATTGGAACGGCGGCACTGGCGGGCAGAGTTGCGGGAACATGGCCGCGGGCCGCTCGGCGAAGGGCGTGTTCTCCGGGTCACCAATGTAGCGAGAGAGGAAGACGAGACGGCGGCCAACGTGGTCGTGTCGTTCTCTCGCCACTTTATTCCACGCCTGAAGCGGAGCCGCGTGGTGGCTGTCCACATCCGACACACCAAGTGCGCTAGCTTGTTCTAATCCTCGCGCAGCTCGAGCTAGCATCAGCTGCGCGAGAGGCGCGACGCGGTGATTGAGAAATGATGATGGTGATGGTGGCACTACAGAAGTATTTGAGGAGGAGAAACTACCAGGCCGTGCCAGCGGGCGAAGGCGACGAGATAGCGTCACGGAGTGATGTGGTTTACGCCAATGCTCGGCAGATGACACTTTCGGCCCATCTTTTACATGTGCTTCTATGAACGCGACGCATAAAAATCATGATAGCACCTCGATTGACATGTGGGGTTTAACGTCCCAAAACCACCATATGATTATGAGAGACACCGTAGTGGAGGGCTCCGGAAATTTCGACCACCTGGGGTTCTTTAACGTGCACCCAAATCTGAGCACACGGGCCTACAACATTTCCGCCTCCATCGGAAATGCAGCCGCCGCAGCCGGGATTCGAACCCGCGACCTGCGGGTCATGATAGCACCTCGTACACAGCAAATTTTTCAACCTTTTGTGTGTAAAATGAATGAAAAGGTGTGACAGGTATTTCAGTGGCAGTTACCAATTGATACGGCCAGAATTACGAGCCGTAAAGTGCTTGAAACAAGCTTCTAGTAATGGCCCTGTTGCAGATGACTTCTGCAGCATGCACGCACCTCTCTCTCTGTCATGAATTTATCTCGGGAGCACTTGGGAAGGATGGATTTGAGACAAACAAGAGACGGGCGTGGCAAGACAAACACATTTTATCACCCAAAAAGGGCAAGACCAATACACAGAATACAGCACAATAACTCAACAACAATCTGCGTACAAGATCAAACCCAAACTGGCTGTAGCTCAGTCTAAAGCCGTTACTAGCCCTAGACGCTATTCCTAAGCCAAATATGGCGTCTCAACAATGGAATGTCCGTACAGTTCACCAGATTGTGACTTGTTGCCCTTTGCTGTGTCGATGCTTAGTCGATTCCTCCGTCGTTGACGGGCTGCTCCACTTACCATTGCCGTCGGTTGATCCAGTCGAACAAACCCCTTGTCCTCATTGTCGGTGTCCCGGTCCTTGTCTCAATATTCAGCCTCGCTAGGCTTAGTTCGTCAAAAACTCCCCTGCTGACGTGTCCACTCTGCTAACTGGTGTGAACTGCTACCCTCCTGGAGCGAAGTGGGATAACTGCTACCCTCCTGGAGCGAAGTGGGATAGCTGCAAGCCCACCAGAAACTGCTGGGCAAGTGTGCGGCAAGTCCGGGCAGCCTCACTCGGGACCTCCAAGGTTGACGGCCACTTCTCGGGCCTTTCACATCGACATCCTTCAGACCCGGGCGGCTATCCTGCTCCTGTTGCTGTAGAAACCCTGCTTTCCCACGTCTTCGCAGCTTGGAGCCCCAACGCACAGTGCCAGCCCATTCTCTGGGATTTTTCATCACAGCTCGGGTCGCGCACCACAAGCCTTTTTCCAACCATACTCCTGCATCGATGTGGCTGGTGCGCTTGCCCTCGGGTGAGTTTTTTCTAGTTGTGCACCATCGCCGCACTTAAACGTTCGGCGCGCGCCTCGTGCCTCTCCTTTAATCACTACATTGGGCCCCATTTTAAGGAGTTTTTTTTCTTAAAGAACTGCTCATTTCCGTTCTCCATTTGATGCAGCCTTGCACCTTGCTCTTCTCTCTTGGCCTTTTTTCACATTTCGTTGACCTCATCGCGCACTTATTCACCACTCACTGCACTTTTTTGTTCACGCATCATCACTGCTATTGTTCACACATCGTTCCTACATTTTCACCAACACGCATCAAACACTATGCTCGACCATTCACATGTGCACTAGTTCCTTATCTTACACTACACAGATAAACTCACAAGGACAACTGCACACAGTACTCAACACTAAATATTCCAAAAATCTGTACAATATCTAATACCTGTCCAAAATATTTTTTCTACAAAAGCATTTACCAATTGCACACAACTAGCTCAAGTCAGTGTTTCTTCGCATTCTGCGTCTTCCTACACCTACTAGCTACCCACCGTCTTGGATGCTTGTTACAGCTGATCCCACTGTTTCCGTTTACTCGACGCCTCTTCAAAACACCGTTTCCAGGTTTCATCTGATCGTTTACCACCCTCTCTGCTT